ATGCGGGAGACAACCAATCAATGTGTCTCTCTCACAGCGATGTTTCTCTCTCTTTTCTTCTTTCCCTTCCACTTTCTAAAAATTAATGGAGAAATAACCCAAGAGAGGATTAAAAAAAAAAAAGTTTGCTGACTCCTATCTTAAATGAAAACAGTATTTGTGAATTATTACCTAATTTTGGGGTGCTTTGGGATGTTATTATAGCAAGATAAATAGGTCTGAAGGTCTTGTCTGAACAAATGGGTTGAGAATCAAGAAGTCTTATGTCAGAAGAAAGCAAGAAATATCTGCAGGTTCTAATGCACAAAGTAAGGGACTGGAGGATTTGTCAAGCAGCATAGCTTTAGAGGTAGAGGATCAAGAAATTTGCCAACTGATCCATCTGGGGAGTCTCCATCTCTGTACTTGACCTAAGCAGAAAATGGTTAATTACAATGACTATCCACCTGTGCCAGGAACGAGCAGATCACCAAAAGCATAAAGCCACAGTGCTCAGGTGACTGGATCCTGTTGGGGGTTTGGGGAAAGGTGGAGGGTTATGGAAAGAAACACCCATGGAGACCAGATGCTTTCTGATTTCTCTCTAGTCAAATAACCAACAGGGCCCAGAAATAAGCTAACGTTGACTCATTTGATCATAGCAAGATCCTAGTTCTGCATCAGAGGACCCCATAGACCTAGAGACCTCATCTGTGACAGATCCCATATCCCTAGAAATCAGTGGTGAGATGGGAAAGAAATGGTTATACTGTTTTGATTGCAGGGTTGAATAAATGGGCTTTTGTCCAGGATGTCAAATAGTGTTTGATTTGATTAGCCTCACAAGTGGCTCAAAAATAATGGGAGGGAAGTATGTCAAATTGAGAGCCGGGGTATAAGTTTCCTCCATTTTTGTTCAGATATCATTTGGAGTCATAAATCAGAATTCCTGCCTAGAGATGTCAGCCAGTAAATCAGGTGCAGCAGTGCTATAAGCATAATGTGGAACTGACCTTGGGCAGGGCCTGGCACATCAACAGTATGCCAAAAATGTTAGTTCTCCCCACGGCAAGCTCTAACAGAATCCCCCCATCTCTCCTCCTCCACCAGCCCGGCGGAGCTGGGTCTTCTCTCGCTTGCTTCTTTAAGGGGAAGGTGGTGAGTATCTGCCAGATGGATGAAATCTGAAAGTGTCCTCTTAGTGCCAGCACAACAATGGCAGAGCTGGGAACAATTTTTCCCGGGAAAAACGGGCTTTCCATTGCCCATCTGGCAGAAGGGACTGGAAGTGATCTCCTTTCTAAACTTAACTGCCAGAAACATGAGTGCTCGTCCTGCTTACTACTGTCCCTCTCACTCTTGTTCTATTTCCCCAGCCTGTTCTTTAATAAGCACTTCTACAGCTGTTACTATGTGCCAGGTCCTACACCTAGTATTTTACCAATATCAACTCATTTAAGCCTCATAACAACCCTTTGAGGTAAATATTATCTTTATTCTATGATGAAGGACGCTGAGCCACAGAGAAGTAAAAAAACTTGCACTAGGCCCAACCCAGTAAGTGGCAGAGTTTTAAATTATAAGTGAAACCATGCCATTACTAAGTAAGTCTTCAAAACATCCTAAGTGTATGTCATTCAGCTGCTGTCATCAGAAACATAACTCTGCCAAGGTTAAGCTCAGATTTCTTGCCAGAATATTAATTTCTAAATTTCCTCTCATCAACTGATCCGTACTGCTTGCACAGTGATCTGAGAGCTCAATCTCAGGTTAGGTTAAGAAGCAACAGCAGAGACAAGTTCTGAGCAGACCGCCCGGCTGTGTGGTTGGGTGACCTTAGGTAAGATACTTAGCCTACCCTCCTGTCTCCAAAGGAAAAACACGGGTAATACAGCTGTAGCTGCAGCTACCTCCTGGGTGCTTGTGAGCACCAAACAAGCTGATCCATATGCAAGGGCTCAGAGCAGTGCCCGACACACAGGAAGTGCTGAATAATCCAGTTATAACCCCTCATAAGCAAGTAAGAAGTCAACAAACATTTAGTCAACTGAAAAGTAGACAACCAAAAATGCTAACAAAATAAAGATATTTTCTTTAATCCTCTTAAATATATGTCAAACATACTAAAACTGTATTTTCATTAGTTCCAGTAATAAAAAATAAGGACCCCATACAAGTTGAACTATACAGTATTCTTCTAAACTATATTCACTACTGAAAAAAAAACCCACAAAAAAACAGAAAGCTAGACCTGTTTGTGTGTGTTTTAATTTACAAAAACAAGAACAATCAAGTAAGTACTCAGAAAGGAACGCTCTTCCTTCGATGGACTGAGATACGCGCATCTTCTTCCAATAAATCTCCTTCCTCCTAAGCGAGTCTGAGTTAGATTCTGTCAGCTGGAACCAAAGGGGTCCTGTTTAATGCAAGTAACTCAACCCTGAGAAATTCAAGCCAGTCTTCGTATGAGTGAACTATCTCCATTGTCCTCAACTACTTACCTCAAATGTACAAACTGACCTGCATCTGAGCCTGACTCGGCATTTTTCACTCCTACAAAGGCCAGCATTGGCTTCAGCCACTCTGTACCCTCCTGGGTCTTTCTCATGTCTCTCTCACCTCTTCTACTTGACCTAAGCTAAATGTTGAAACCCCAGGATCAGAACACAAGCCCTCTTTTCTCTACCTTCTCTTTCAGGGTGGTCGATCCATTTCAGTGACCGTACATATCAAGTTATAAGCTGCTGAGAAGTAAATATAGGTACCATTCAAACCTCTTATCTGAGTTCTGGAGTCATCTATCCAATCACCTATAATCTTTCATATAAATTTCACAAGCATCTCAAAGTTTCCAAGTCTGAGGTAGACCTGATTATCTGCCTATCGTCCCTACAGAATCTGTCTCTCCTTTCGTGTCTTTCTCAGCTTATGGCACCATCAAAGTGCTCGCTCAAACAGGAAACCTGGACACCAACCATGACTCCTCCTTCTCCCCTACTCCAAATATTCAACCCATCCTCAACTTCCGGCATGTCCACCTGGAACCACCTATTCTCTCCATTTCCCCTGCTACCACGCTGCTGCAAGCCTCCACCCCCCGACCCCAGAGCCCCACAGGGCCCTCCTCCCAGGTCAGCCGGCTCACACTCCTGTTCTGGCACCACCGCGTCCACGTCCACGTCGGCAGACAAGTGCCACGACTGTCTCAAAACCCTCCCCTGACTTCCCCTGCATTTATAATCAAGTCTAAATCCATTACCCTGCTCACGGGTTCCTGCTGAATGACGTTCTCCTGCCTCTTTCCTGTTGTCTCTCCAACCACCTCCTTTTCCACGAGGCTTTAGTTGCCAGCTCCCAAATTCCAGTAACCTTGTTCCTTCTTCTAGAGACTGTGCACATGCATTTCCCTCCACTTTTTGCAAGGCTAAGTCTCGTTTAGTAAAATTGCAGCATAAACATAACCTCCACAGAGGCTTTCTCTGATCACCCTTACAAAGCAGGTGTTTGTGGCCTGTGACGTTACTCTGCTGCTGCACCCTAATTTCCTTCAAGCACTCTTACACAGCTCAACTGTCACCTACCTTCTTTGTAAGACCTTCAGTGACCTATCCTCGGAAGACACCAGCACTGCCCTTAGACTTCACTACACTCGAATAAAACATTTACCTTGGCGGGCTATTAGGGCCCGTGCTTAGCATACCACGGAAGTACATTCCTGGAAGGAAGGAGACATTCTTTCATATTTCTATCCTTAGCTCCTAGCATAAGGTTTAACTGAATAAAAAGTGGAACTATACCTACCAATTTTCCAACAAAGACCCTCAATTCACATACACCATACATTCTCACATCCACAGAACAAAAATGATTCCCAGGACTGAAGTAGGTAAAACATCTTAAGATTTTACAATGGTTTTTGGCCCTCTCAAGCTCAATTCTATCCAACAAAATGTTGCCCTTTAGTATTTAATTTCTAAATTAAATTTGTAATTTTAATTAAATTTCACTTTTATCCTTAGGTAATGAAAAAAAGTTTGAGAAATGAGGTAGAGCTTTCCCTCCAGCTCCCCTATTTCTCTAACTCCTCAATGCTCATGTCATTGCGCTGGGTGGTCATTCTCTACCCCACGAATCCAAGTAATTGCTACCTTTAAAATCTCAGCTAAACTATACTCCTTCAACAGAGCCTTTCTTTCTATGCGAGTCCACACTTCTAGCTCCCCTTCCTGCTCCCCTTTTCTGAGAGCCTATATGAACTCATACCTAGTTTGTATAATAAAATTCCAAACATAATTATGTGGGGACTCAATCATCCCTTAATGGATTAAATGTGTTCATCTCTCTTTTCCACTACAATTTATGTTGCCTGAAGGCAGTAAGCTTATTAAAACACGTATTATGTTCCCCATCAGACTGAATATAATGCTTGCACAGAAAACAAGCATTAAAAAAAAACTGTTACATTCTTAACCAAAATTTTTCATTTGCTGAGTTTTAGTTGAGCTGTATTCAACTAAAATGTGAACACACAGAAGAAAATGGTGACATGAACCAAGCCGAGCCTTGCAACAGGCCAGGTCCAGAAGGACAGAAAGAGCATTTAGTGCTCTGAAGGCAGAGAAAGGCAACGTGATCCCCTCTCCAGTGTTTAGCACCAGCACCCTAAAGAACTCAGTATAAAAATATGATGATGAAGAGAAGCTGAAATCAAGCATTAACAAAATACAAAACTATTTTCTGTCCATTGGAGAGAACATAGTACTCCATTAAGTAAAGCAGTAGGTAATAAAGACAGAAGGAAACAAATAACGGGTTACATAAACTTTCAATGAAAATACTTGGATGATCCTGCACTGATTCTATGATAAAGTCCTTAGGTCCATTTTTCACTTCTCTCCGTACCTGACTAGCTGAAAGTAAGTCTGTTAAATGTCTGGGGCATAGAAATATGTATAAGTAAAATTCTGGATAAGGTTTTATTTTTTCAGGTGTTTCTTTTTGCAGGAAGTCACTGCACCTACTTTTGATCTGTTTTTGAAGTGGTAGGAAAAGTGTCTTCTTCCACATCTGACTCATCCACCTCAATCACCTAAGGGGAGAAAACAAAATAGCAAATAGTTTTTGTGGAAACAACTGTTCAGTGAAAAATGAGTTAAATAACTGAAGCTCAAGTTTTTTATTTTTGTTTTTAATATATAAAAAAAGCCACAATTAAAGAAGTAGAAATCATATAATCAGCAATGATCACAACTAAAGCTCAGCCTGGCCTCCTCCAATGCCACCCTTCATTCTCGAGTAGTATTTTATACAACATGTGCGACTTCGCTCCTCTTGGCCACCAGGGCAGCCTGGGTACCTGAGGGAACATGCAGGTAGCCTGGTGAGTGACTCACAGGGAGTCATGTCCAGATAACGCCCTGTGATTTTCTTAGGTTCTAATGAGGAGATAAAGATATCTGTGAATCTTCTGTGATTCTTGATTCTAGCATCCAAAATGCTACCCATTCATCTACATTTTGTGTTATCTTGACACGCGATACACACATTTGCTACGTCTTCATCTAAGATAAAGCCCAGGACAAAATACTGGAAAGACAGCACCTAACATCTCCCCCTGCAGGTTGACAGTAAACTATTTATTAATCAAAAGTCATTAAACGCAGTTGTACAAGTGGCTATGAATCTAGTCAATATTCCTGCATTTTGTTCATAAAACTATAAGAAGATTATCTCATGTGCTTTGAAGGAATTAAATGCATTCAACATTCACCTAATCTGTGTAATCTCAATCAAAAAAATGAAAAACATCCCTGGCTGGTTAGGCTCAGCAGTTAGAGCATCAGCCCAGAAACCAAAGGGCTTCAGGTTCTATTCCCGTTCAAGGGCACATACCTGGGTTGCCGGTTCGTTCCCTAGCCCTGGCTGGGGTTGTATGGGAGGCAACCAGTCAATGTATCTCTTTCACAGTGATATTTCACTCTCTCCCCCTCTCCCTCTCCCTCCCTTCCACTCTTAAAAAAAAAAAAAAAAAATTAATGGAAAAGTATCCTCGGGTGAGGATTAACAAAAGAAAAAATAGAAAGAAAAGCTAGTTTGGATGACTTGTCCTTCTTGAATTCATGTTCCTGCCTGATAACAGAAAAATCAAGAAGGGAAGACACCTTGCAAACATGATAATAATTTTGTTTTTGATATGATTTTGAAGCACTAGCAGGCAATAGTTGATTATAAAGAATGAAATAAACCTCAGGATAAAAGTTAGCAGTGGTACACCCACATATATGTAAGTAACAGAAAGAAGAGGAAATAAAAAAAGAAAGATGAAGTTAAGAGAGAGAAAAGAACAAGATTAGGCCTGGCTGGTATGGCTCAGTGGTTCAGCGTTGACCCACGCACCAAGAGGTTGCCAGTTCGATTCCTGATCAGGGCAGATGCCAGGTTGTAGGCCTGATCCCCAGTGGGGGCATGCAGGAGACGGCCAGTCAATGTTTTCTCTCATCGATGTCTCTCTCTCCCTCTCCCTCTAAAATTCAAGAAAGAAAAATTATATATATAAAAAAGAACAAGATTAGAATCAGGACAGAGGCGTTTTCTGCAAATGGTGGTAGTCAATTGTGTCATGTACTTGAGAGATCAAGATTAAAATTTGAGAAAAAGCTGTGAGGCAGTATGAGAAAGAACAATGATTCTCAACAGGTGGTGATTTTTAAGCCACACTCCTATCCCAGAAACATTGAGAGATGTCTGGAGAAATTTCTAATGGATAGAAATAGGGGGTACTACTGGAATCTAGTAGGTAGAGGCCAGGATGTTGCTAAACATCCCACAATACACAGGACAATCCCTCAAATCAGACTTCTCTGGGTCCAAAATGTTGGTGGTGCCCTGACTGGGTTAGTCAGTTGGTTAGAGTGTCATTCTGATGCACCAAGGTTACTAGTTTGATCCCCAATCAGTGCACATACAAGAATCAACCAACGAATGCAAAAATAAGTAGAACAACAAATTGATGTTTCTCTCTCTCTCCTTTCTTCTCTCTAAAATCAATACATAATTTTTTTTTTAAATGTCAATAGCATTGGTGCTGAGAAACCTGGGAAGACTACTGGCTTGGGAGTGAACACACATGGGTTCTGAAAGTGACGTAACAGGACACTCAAGCACATATTAGACTCTTCTTGAATACAGAGGAAGAGCAGAGGCCTATGTTATATCTACAGCTGAACACAGAGGTCCGTAGTCTTAAATCTTTCAGTTTCTTGAGTCTAGCTTCAGCCATTAAGACACAGGCCAAAGTTATGAGACTATATGCAGCAAAAGGAAGCCATGCCTAAACAAAACCTCTGTATGCACCGAACTCCTATCTTCTGTTATCAGTAGTCCATGCATGGGCCCTTTGGTCCAAAACTGTTATCTTTAAAAAAGTACTGGAGCCTGGCCAATGTGGCTCTGTTCATTGGGCACTTTCCCACGCACCAAGAGGTCACCAGTTTGATTTCCAGTCAGGGTACATGGCCAGGTTGTGGGCTCAATCCCCAGTAGGGGGTGTGCAGATGGCACCAGTTGGTGTTTCTCTCTCATCAATGTTTCTCTCTCCTTTCCTCTCTGAAATCAATAAAAAAAACCTTTTAATAAATACTTTACTAAAAAAATTACTAGATACACACATTTATGGATTTCTAATCCATTATTTTAAGAAAGAGAGAAAAACAACAAAACAAAAAAATCCTAGAAGCCCTGCCTAGATCAAGTTCTCTCCAGCTTTAATGTTTCACACTTTTTCTCCTTTTATTTACTTTGTTGATTAAAGAATAGACAATTTGTAATTCAGAATACATAAATTATTAAAACACAACTATAAAACTTTTTTCTTACCTCTGAATAATTCTTAGCAGCAACATTTCGTGAGGGCTGCTGTCTTGTAGATTTAAAGGCTACAATGAAAAAGATGAAATATCCATTATGTTGTTCTTAAAATAACTGAAAATTTTGTACATTTCTTTAGCTAAAGATTCTCTAAGTCCTATTTGCAAAAACCCTTGATGACTAATTAGAAAACCATTTACATTTTTTAAAATCTGAAGGGAGGTATAACTAATTATATGTTCAAATAAATAAATGTCTAGCTGCCAGTTTCATATAATTTCATGGCTTATTCAAATACAGTAACAAGCTGTGTTCATAAAGATACCTACACTAAAAAATTTTATAGATGAATACCTGAAGGATAAAATCTGATCACCTAACAGACTAAACCCCAAATACATCAGAGGAACCCTCCTAACATCTCCCTTCTCTTACAGTTGGCAATACCCTTCCCTGTGGCTATGTTAGGAGCTATGGTTCCAGGAAGAACTCTTATTCCCCTCTGCTTTGGTAACCATCTCCAGTACTTAAGAAATAGTCCAGCTCAGGCAGGTGTGGCTCGGTCAAGCATCATCCTGTGCACTGAGGTCCCTGGTTTGATTTCCGGTCAGGACGCATGCCTGGGTTTTGGGCTCGATCCCCTCTCCCTTCCCTCTTTCTAAAAATCAATAAAAACATTTTAAAAAAAGAAAGAAAGAGACTAGAGGAGAATTATAGAAAACAGCATATCTTTTATTCCACGATAAAACCTTCTTCTGAATGCTTTAATTTTATAAACTTGGTTAGAAACATGAAGCTTAATTAACCATTGATTATTTCCAAGCCCCAAACTGTGCTATTATGATTTTACAATAAGAAATATACAGGGGAGGGCAAAAGTAAGTTAATAATAATAATAACAATAAATATAATAAATACAAGAATAAACTGCTTCGCATACTCATAACTGCAAACCTTTTGCCCATCCCTCTATATTTGGTTTTGTCTGGTACAGAGTTCCTAAAACTCTCTGAATGTCCTAAGTGATGACAGCCATAGAGGTATCAGTTATTATGTTAATTTGGTAACTTGGGGACTGCATCTAAAGTTGGAGGGTGGTTGCCAGGGAAACTAACCAAGAATGGAGAATTAGAACTACAGTCCCATTCCCTGATTTCTGGGGAGGGAAGATGGGCTGAAGTTACATTCATCACCTACAGCCAATGATTTAATCAATTGTGCCTATGTAATGAAGCCTCTATGAAACCCAAAGGAAGTGGTTGGAGGGCTTCCAGGTGGGGAACCAGACCATTTCCATGTGCCACGATGCCAGGCTCAAGCTCCCTTAGGACATAAGCTCCTTCTCTATGCATCTCTTCATCTGGCTGTTGACTGGTACCCTTACAGGTAATCTGGTGAGGAAAATAGTTCCCTGAGTTCTGTGAGCCGCCCGGGCAAATTAATCAAAACCAAGGGGTGGGGGTGGGGGGGTCATGAGAACCTCGCATTGATAACCAGTTGGTCAAAAGCACAGGTAACAACCTGGGTTCAGACTGGCATCTGAAGTGGAGGGGGACAGCCTTGTGGAACTCAGCCCTTAACCTGTGGAATCTGAGGCTATCTACATGTCAGAATTTAGTTGAAATGTAGAACTCCCAGCTGGTGTCTCCCCCAAATCCACCACATACACTCACACACTGAAATTGGGATAAATTTCAAATGGTCAATTAGGGGTTTATTTTCTCCTAAGCCTTACTTGTTTCCTAATTTTAAAAAAACTCCCCCAAACAACCCCTAAACCAAATGGCAAGAGGAGGAAAAAAAAGAGAGAAAGCTTGAAAAGTTAAAATCTCAAAGAATCCCATAAAGCCCCGAATTCTCCCTGTCAGGAAGCTCAGAATCTTTCCACTTGGCCCAAATATCTGATTTGTTCATTTTTCCTATTCCAGGTCCTATCCCTGCTTTGGGATGACTACCTGGGAGAGGAGACAAGGGCAGGAGCAGAGTTCTTATCTGCCCTACCCTATGTGTGGCCTGACATCCTACTCTACTCAGAAGGCTGGAGGGCAACTGACTGAAAAAGCCCATCATCATGACTCTTTCCAAGAGTATTTCTGCTCATTATTTACTAATTGACTCCTCAAACTCAGACCCTTGAAATCACGAGCCCACCTTTCTTTTTATTACCAGTGAATAGCCAAAGATGAATAAATGTTTGTGAGGTAATTAGTATTATCAGAAACTAAATGACGAGTTTGGTCAGGAAGGCGATCCAGCCCAGTGGTGAAGAGCTGGTTACAGTCAGACTTACTTTGACTTACTAGCTGGGTGACTATGGCCAAGCTCTTTGGCTTAAGTCTCAGTTTCCCCATCTTGTAATATACTGTTAATAATACTTCATGCAGAAATTAAAGGATAAAAAAAGTAGTTAATGCTAATTGCTTTGGCAAGTGTCCCAAAGTAGAAGGTATTCAAAGAATGTAGCTAGTAACAGCAGTAGTAAACACATTGGCAGCAGTGGTAGCCAGGGTGGTAAAATCAATGCAAGGGCAGAGGCATCAGAAGTATCTTTTATTAGTTTTAGTCATTATCCTCTACAAACAAACATCAACGGAAAATTATGAGCTGTCAACTTTTATTTATAACTACTGTTGACTTTAAAAGTAATATCTGCCTTTTCCCATAAAATTCCTGTACAACAAATCTCTATACTCCATAGAGCTTGTCCTAACAGAATCTGACCTCTATTTATCTCTTCATTTCTTTATGTATAGTAGAGACCCAGAAGTTACAGTTTTATAGTTGCTTTTGTCCCAAAGTTATGGCAATTCTAGTTAATACACTGTGGTTATTTTGTCAGAGACTTAAATACCAAATGTAATCTGATAAAAATGTTCTACACATATATATTAAAAAGTCAATTTCATTTATTCAAAAAAGGTGCAGTGTCGGAGGTGATCAGTTAAACTGCAAAACCATCACACCAAATTAATTATACAAAAGATAAATTTAGACTAATTTATGAACCATCCATGTTCATAAGTTTATTGTAAACACTGCCACTAATACTAACAGTAGCAGTCTCATTTGATTCTTATTAAGTTCTGCACTTAGCAATGCATATGCGCAAGTTCATTTAGTACTTAGAACTACTTTGTGTAGTAAATACAACACTGCCAATTTTATAGCTAAGGAATATGAAGCTTAGAGAATAATAATAGTTCACACTTACTGGGGCATAATTTGCATAGACACTATTCCAGGTATTTCACTTGCATTTTCTCATTAATCCTCAAAATAACCCAAGGAGGTCAGTGCAATCATCACCCATCTTACAGATGAGGACACTGAAGCTTAGACATGAAAAGTTTGATCCACTGGAGGACATACAACTAGTAAATCAAGAAGTCAGAATTCAAAACAAGGTCTTTCTGAATTCAGAAGCATGATCTTAACCTTTGTGCTACACAATCTCTAAGTAATTTTTATTCAGCTATTTTGAAGTACTTAATGCACACCTACTATATGCCAGGCACTGTAAATACAATGAGGAATAAAATAATGCAACCCCTGTTCTCCAGGTGCTTATAGTGCAAGGACACAGAGCCGGCAGGTGAATAGCTGGCTGACCACACCAGGTCTGACTCTAGCGCATGGGTTCTAAACCACAACCATCAGACTCTTAAAGACTCCATAACTCAACATAGATTTAAAACCACTACCTCTGGCACTATACACATCAAATCTATTCAATCTTTCATAAGACAGGACTTAATTTATATAAAGACTTGAATTTTTCCCAGGTCAGATATTCCAAATCCTTTCTACCATTTCAAAAAAAAATTTTTTTCTTTATTGATTTTCAGAGAGAGAGGAAGGGAGAGGGAGAAATAGAAACATCAATGAGAGAGAAGAACATCAATTGGCCACCTCCTGCATGCCCCCCACTGGGGATCAGGCCCACAACCTGGGCATGTGCCCTGACCAGGAGTTGAACTGGTGACCTCTTGATGCATGCATCGATGCTCAACCATTGAGCCACACCAACCAGGCTCTACCATTTAAAAAAAATATTACATGGTTTCTCTTCTCAATGATTATATATAGCTGACATCCCTCTTAAAATAGTTGAGCACTGTATTCTTAGCATGATGCATGCAATTCCATACAGAGGAAGAACTTCCTTGCTATAGAGATGTACAACTTCTATTAATAATGTTTAAGACACCACTAGACTTGGACAGTTAGGTCAACCTGCACTGCTCTTATTGACCTAAGTCTTTTTGACTTGGGTTGTTGTTAATGTCACATACCTCTCAGAACACTTGTGTGCTGACCTTTTGAACATAAATGCGTTTTATACTTACCTTTGATAAATTTCATCTTGTGACAACTCTTCAATTGTCAAAACTTAATCCTCTGCTCTGGCTGGTTTGGCTCAGCAGTTAGAACATCAGCCTGCAGTCCAGAGAGACCTGGGTTCGATTCCCAATAAGGGCACGTACCTCAGTTGTAGTTTGTCCTTGGCCCTGGTTGGGTCGTGCAGAAGACAGCCACTCAATGTGTCCCCTTCACGGCGATGTTCTTTTTTTTTTCTCTCTCTCTCCCCCTCCCACTCTATCTGAACTAAAAATGGAAAAATGTCCTCGGGTGATAAAAAAATGAAACCTACCCTATAAAAGTTACCTCAAATAAGAAGATAAAGTAAATAAAATACATATATATGGATATACTCTCTGAATACTAGATAGGGAAAAAATATCACCAGCTATTTTAACATATATTTTTATATATCTAACAACTTCAGCTGATCTCATAAACCATACTATTTAACATAATTTATTAAGTTTTTATATTAAATTATTTAATTTCTAAAAATAGGTCCCTTTAGTCTGAGGATACAAAATTAATTATTTACATTTTTGTTAATCCTCCCTCGAGGATATATTTTTCCATTGATTTTTAGAGAGTGAAAGGGAGAGGAGGAGTGGGGGGGGCACTGATGTGAGAGAGAGACATTAACTGGTTGCCTTCCACACAACCCCAACTGGGGCCAGGGATAGAACCTGCAACCCTAGTACATGCCTTTGACCTGAATTAAACCCGCAACATTTTGGTCCATGGGCTGATGCTCTGACTGCTGAGCCAATTTTGTGCCAGCCAGGACACAAAATTCATTCAAAGAACCTCAACCATAATTTCCCTTAAATATAGCTCACACGACTCTATGTTAACAGTAGACAAAAGCAGCACGAGGGACGAAGGTAAACAATGCATCAGAAAGCAGTTCCACCCTGGCAGGGTGGCTCGATGAGTTGGAATGTCGTCCTGTACACCAAAAAGGTGGTGGATTTGATTCCCAGTCAGGGCACACACCTGGGTTATACAGGATGGGGTGCTTGCAGGAGGCAGCCAACTGATGTTTCTCTCTCTCTCCCTAAACACATCCACATATCCTCAGGTGAGGATTAAAAAAAAAAAAGAAGAAGCACTTCCTTCTCTCTTGACTAGTATTGATATACTGACCAATTACCTTTTCTTTGCCTTAGAAATCCTTCTATAAAAGGAAAATATAAAAATTACTTTTTACAGCTCACTCTCTCCAAAAGCTCCAACCAGTGGCGAAGATCTTTTAAATTAGCAAAGTTTATCCTGTGATTCTAATAACCCTTGTGACACCCCAGTGATGGCAACACAAACAAATGAGATTTACTAACAAGGTTTCCTAGTTCTTCCTGTATTGGAATTTACAAATAACTGCTAGATAATCATTTGCAGTCTATACTCACCATCTACAATAGACATATTTCTAGATGTTGATATAGTGGCCCTTGAACTTCTGCTTTGAGTAGAAGTCTCTAGACCAGTGCCTGCTGTTAGAACAATGAACAGTCAATAAACAATCACATCAGCAGTCAAGGTATTTTTGAAATAACACCAAAATAAAATCTAAATAAAGTTATGTCAAAACATAGTTCACATATAAAAAGCCAAAGATATATACAAGAAACATCTAGAGTCTGAACAGTCAATTTTCAGAGACTATACTTCTATTACATTTGGCTAATACTGCTCCAATTAAAATTTAAGGAAAAATATTCTAAATATAAAAAAAAAAGATAATTATCACTAGAAGATGAGGATTTCTCTCCCTGGGTATTTTTAATCAAAATGCTATCCATTTTACCAGCTTAAAATTCCTATGAAAAAATATGTACTAAAAATAATTTAAATATTTCTAGGGATGGATTTGTATAATGCATCATGAGGTCACTGGATGACTATTTTGTTTGGACTATTCAGTGACAACAGTGTCACATTAAACACAATGATGGCAACTAATGCTAATAATTGCTTTAAGAAATCAAATTGGCGCTGGCCAGTTTGGCTCAGCGGTTAGAGCGCCGGCCTGTGGTTCAGAGAGACCTGGGTTTAGTTCACACTAAGGGCACATATCTTGGGTGCAGTTTGCCCCCGGCCCTGGTTGGGTCATGCGGGTGGCAGCCACTCGATGTGTCCCTTTCACGTCGATGTTTCTCTCTCTCTCTCTCTCTCTCTTCCTCTTTCTCCCTCCCACTCTTTCTGAACAAAAAATAAAAAAATGTTCTCAGGTGAGGATAAAAAAAAAAACTAAAAAAAAAAAAAAGAAATCAAATTGTGCCCTGGCTGGTTTAGCTCAACAGCTAGAGCTTAGCCTGCAGACCAGAGTCCCAGGTTCGGTTCCCACTAAGGGCACGTACCTTGATTGCAGTTTGCCCTGGCGCTGGTTAGGGTCATGTGGGTGGCAACCACTCAATGTGTCTCTCACACATCGATGTTTCTCTCTCTCTCTCTTCCTCCCTCTCTCTCTCCCGTTCTATCTGAAGATAAATGCAGGTGATTATAAAAAAAATAAATTGTATTTTAGGGTGGTTTTTCTTTTCAAACAAATATCATGAAGCCACATTATGTGAATGTGGGCATCTGTATCTTATGACAGTAACAAAAATAACAATTTCTATGCTCTGGAGTTTTCTTCCTGCTGCCAATGCCACTAGCTAGCCATTTTCCTCAACAGTGTGTATCTGCTTCACTATTACTTTGTACATGTAAGAGGAAATAAAACATTAAATGTACCCAAAGGTACTGTGTAAAAGACAGTGTTCTTAAAAAAAAAAAAAAAGTGCTAAGAGCAACTAAAACCCTTTCTGCATATAGCCATTCAAAATGTATTTAAATAAAATGTACATGTCAGAACTACATTAAAGACTGACTTTATGCATAAGCAAAATAAATTTTTAGAAGACTGTGTAACTCAATTCTAACAAGAGGAATACATTTCTGTATTTCCCACTCCATGGCCAAATCTAAATGTGTGCAAACACTGGAATGTCCTCAGTGCTAACCTCTTCTTCTCTGAGACCCTCCTCTTGATGCTGAATTCTGCCCTCTTCCTCCTCTTCGGCCTCTTCCTCGTCCTCTTCCTTTGATGGCTGCTGCTGTGATGCTGTCATCAGAGTCATCAGCTGTCTGTTCTGGCAAATCCACACTCATAAAGTCATCAGCACTAAAGGCAGAAGCGGAGTTCTCTGACTGAGATCTGAGTGCTCTGGCCCTAGTCATGGCCTGAGAAAAAAACAAGGAGAAAGGAGTCATTAGTAGATGATGCTGCATCCTAAAAGTCAGTCTGGTCATTCAGAGGAACATTTCATAGTAAAAAAACTGTCTGTACTATTATTTTTCACTAACCGTGCTATAAAAGTATAAAACAAGAGAACCTCCTTCCCCCGTCCATCAAATTCAAAACCTGTAATTTGTCAGATCACTTTATAATACCACCTTGTAAAATGAGACCTTTTGAAAGGTTTACCAAAAAAGATGAAGCTTCACAGAATCTAAACTTACAGAACAGGGAGGCATATTGGCAATTGCCCCTAATTCTACGCCACCATTCGTAAGAGACTTTCACCATTTGAGCTACTTTGTACAATGAGCTCAATAAATAACAAGGAAAAAAATCACAAACAATACCCATTATTTCTGGGTGACAAAATTTTAAGATGCTTTTGTTTTCTTCTTTATTCTTAAATGTTACAGATAGTCTACAATATACTTTTTCTAAAATATTACTTTTGCAATCAGAAAAACACGAGCGATAATCTCATAAATATACAATAATAAGAATTAAGTAAAATATAGCAACTGAAAGCCTGGAAAAAGAATAAAAGCCAAGAATATGCCACAAATTTTAATTTGAAAGGAAACTGTCAACAGACTGACAGCTGTCAGAGGGGAGACGGGTAAAAAGGTGAAGGAATTAAGCAAAAAAAAAAAAAACTTTAGATAAGACAAGTTTGAGACTTAAAAAATGTTCTAATTAACTCTGAAATTAATACAGATTTTCTTATTAAATACAGAATAAAAGAAAACAATGTCCTCCCTTAAACTAAACAAGAAGAATAAAAATAAATACATTTTCACTAAAATTAGAAAATAGCTCTAACCCCAAACCAAATCATCTATGAAGACGGGTATGTGACTATCCGACCAGTTACGGGAGACGGGAGACAGGCAGTGCAGAGCTCTACAAAACGGATCCACTCGTAGAGAGGCCGAGACAACAGTCTTTCTTGCTTGGAATGATACATTCGGGGTCTAAGAAGAGGTAGCTAGAGCATTTCCAAGCTCTCCGTGATGCCATGAAGTAAGGAGAGACAGAGCTAAACGAGGAGACGAGAACAAAGCAGGCGGGGTAGAAACAAGAGCCAAGTGGTGGGAGGGGGAAGTAATCCAGTTTCATACTGATGATCTCAGGGGAAGTGAAATAACAGCTGAATCACTACATAAAGGGCTCAATACGTCATCCCAAAACTTTAGGAAATACAGCAAAAAATATTTTTAAATAGTAGAGAAAGATTTTAATTCGTCTTTCTTGTCCCAGATGAGATACAGGCAATCTTCATTCTTGGATTCCGTATTTGCAATTCACCTACTTACCAAAATTTATTTGTAAGCCCCAAAACAACACCCCTGATACTTTTTTGGTCACTCATGGACAAGTGCAAAGTGGTAAAAATTCTAAATAATCTGACACACATGTGCACAGATGAGGTCAAACAAAGTGACAGTCTGCCCTCTTGTTTCAGCTTGTGTACTTATTAAACAAGTATCTTTTTGTAGTATATTCAATGTCACTTTTCTTACAAATTCATGCTTTTGGTTGATTTTACAATAAAAAAGCTCCCTTGCCCCCATGTATAAACTGCTGAAGCACCGTATTATGTTCCTAAGTGCAAGGAGGCTGTGACGTGTCCTACAGAGGAAACACGAGCATTACATAAGCTTCATTCAGGCCTGAGTTACAGAGCTGTTGGTCATGAGTTCAATATTAAAAAATCAAAAATGTATATTGAATATGATGTCTTTATACAGTACCATTCATGAAAAAGGCTATATATTGTTCAGCTGACAAAAATGTTGTAACCAGTGGCTGGCAGGAAATTAATCCTATATTTCCCCTCGAAACAATGGTTCACTAATTAATGTTTACAGTGACTTTCTACAACATAACTTTTACCACAAATAATAAGAACCAGCTGTACATTAAAATTAGATTTAAAAGAAAAAAAAAGATTCAATTACATAATTAGTAAGCTAGAGCTAATGGATACATGTTGAACTATAGATTATGAAAATAACATAACTTCTTTTCAAGACCCCATGAAATGTTTTAACTGATTTATAATGGGATGCTAAAAAATATCAATAAATTCTAAATAGTAAAAAAAGAGTATCATACTGTCTAATTATCAAGCACTAAAATTAGAAAATAATAGTAAAACAAAACCTCTGACTCCAAACTGCAAAGCAAAACTAAAATTCTATAATATCTAGGAAATAATGGCAATAAAATACTGCATATCAGAACAAATTAAAACAATGAATTAAATTAAAGCGAAGAAATGAGAATGGAGGGAAAAAGATCCAAGAAAAATTAAAAGAATCATGATAAAATATTCTGCTCAACTCTAAGTAATTTAGAAAATAAATGACCCAAACTGCGCCAAGAAAAGACAGACAGTCTCAACAGACTAATCATCAAAGAGAATTTTGAGAAAATTGCTAAAAGAACTACATTCCTTAAAGGACAACAACCAGAAAATTTCACAGGTAAATTCTACTAAATCTTCAAAGAACAGGTAATTCCACTGCTGTTTCAATAGTACAAAAGCATAGAGAAAGTGAAAGGTTAAAGTCAGTTGTGTGGTATACAGGTATGCTAAATAGCAACCACAGATGGTGAATATAAAAAAATTGGATTTATAATGCCCGGCCAGTGTGGCTCAGTGGACTGAGTGTCGTCCCACGGACTGAGAGGTCCGGGTTCAATTCTCAGTCAGGACACATGCCTGGGTAGTGGGCTCCATCCCCAGTAGGGGGTGTGCAGGAGGCAGCCAATTGATGCTTCTCTCACATTGATGCTTCTCTCTCCCTTCCTCTCTCTCTCAAAAAACCAATAAAACATTTTTTAAATATTGGATTTATTTAAAGAAAAGGGACAGGGGGTGAGGATATCCAAAGGGAAGGGCTACACAGCACTGAGCCATGGGGTATTGGGTCGATGATGGCAGCACCTAGGAGCTGGAGTTTCGTCCTTATATGTGTCCACTGGCGGGAAGCTTTTGTCATCAGTGGGTTTGGGGTCTTGGCTGGTGGGCTTGGGCAAGGGGCTGGGTCTACAGGAATGTGGATGTGTGATCAGGGGCTTCTTTGGTAGTTTTAGTTCCTTATATGGTTTGATTCCTGGTGTCCTGGCATTTCTTGTCCTGCCAGTTCTGTGGCAGGAAGTTTGGTCTTTGTTCTCCTGTGGCAGGAAGCTTACAACATGGCTGTTAGCAATTATATTGCCATGTAAGTCCTAACAGAAAGTTTCCAATTTCTTTTTATAAAGCCAGCAGAACATGGTACTGAAAACTGACAAAGGACTGCATGCACAAAAAGAAAATTATAGTATCTTACTTATGAATATTAAAGCAAACAGAGAATCCAGGAGCTTGTGGACAGACCAGTACACCCATTCCCAGGAGATTCCAAAGTGATACTGAGAATGGGTCAATAACTAAATGTGTATCAATGTAATAATTCACCATATTAACAGAACACAGGAGGAACCCCCTCTCCCCACATAAGCCAAAAAGACATTTAATTCATCATCCATTCTGGATTTAAATAAACAGGACACCCTCAGGAATAGGTGGATACTCTTTTACACCACAAAACCTCTATACCACATACACACGCAGTGTGCACACATTTTCACATGGGTACTCTTACAAACCAATTAGAGAGAGACCAATGGCCTAGCCACACCCCCAAAGAAATTTCTAGGCAAAGAACATGACCAGCTGTTTCAGATAAATATGATTTATAAAAATTATTCAGATTCACTAGTAATAAAAGTAGTATGAATTAAAAACAACAGCAAGAAATAATTTCTCACCCCTTAGATTTGTAAAGATCATGATAGGATGTAGGGAAATAAGCAGTCCCAAATACTCCTAGTTGGAATGTAAACTGGTGTTAACACCTTTGGAACAATTTGGCAGTCTAGTAAAATTGTAAATGCACATGCCTTTTTATTACTTCTTATTACTGGAATGAATTATTACCATCATTTTCAAATTTTGTACTTTCCCTCTGTCTAAATACTATATCTGCACTTTATAACATCTCAAACATTACATTCAAATAGTATTTGAACTCTGCCTTTTCTGTGCAACAGACTTTGGCATTTACTGTCATGTATTAAGCACATCCAAGAATTTACCAATGAGTGTAGCTCCATTGCCAGTGGCAAGATGATGTTTCCATTTTTGTGAGATGTGAAAACATACTATCCTAATTATGTTAAGCGAAATAAGCCAGTCAGAGAAAGACAAGTATCACATGAGCCCACTTATACGTGGAATCCAATGAACAAAATTAACTGACAAACAAAATAGGTCCAGAAGCATAAAAACATGGAATAGACTGACGGATCTCATAGAGAGCCTGGGGTGGGCAGAGAATAACCAAAAAACTTATACGCATGTATGCATAATCCGTGAACACAGACAAAAGTGTGGTGAAGGCGTTGGGGTGGGGCAGGAATCGGTGGAGGGGGACAATGGGGGAAAAATGGGGAACATCTGTAACACTCTCAACAATAAAGATAAGTAATTTTTTGAAATTGAAAAAAAGAAAACATTATCTTAAAAAGCATTACACTTCTAAAAATTGTGATAAAATACACACAACATAAAAATTTACCATCTTAACTACTATTAAGTGTACAGTTTAGTGGCATTAAGTACATTGCTGTGCAACCACTGACATCATCCAGCTCCTTTTTCATCGTCCCAAACTGAAACTCCATAGTCACTAAACAATGACTTTCCATGCCCTAGCCCCCCAGCCCCCTGGTAATCACTATTCTACTTTCTGTATGAATTTAACTACTCTAGGTATTTCACATACATGAACTCATACATTTGTCCTTTTGTGTCTGGCTTACTTCATTTCATATGTTTTCAAGGCTCATCCATGCTGTTAGTATATATCAGACTTTCACTCCTTTTAAGGCTAGATAATATTCCACATGTATATACCACATGTGTATACCACATTTTGTTTCTCCATTCATCTTTTTTTTTTTTTTTTTAATTGATTTTAGAGAGGAAGGGAGAGGGAGAGATAAAAACATTGATGAGAGCCCTGGCCGGTTTGGCTCAGCGGTTAGAGCGTCCGCCTGCGGTCCGGAGAGACCCGGGTTCGGTTCCCGCTAAGGGCATGTACCTCGGTTGCAGTTTGTCCCCGGCCCTGGTTGGTCGTGCGGGTGGCAGCCACTCGATGTGGCCCTTTCACATCGATGTTTCCCTCTCTCTCTCTCTTCCTCTCTCTCCCTCCCACTCTGTCTGTACAAAAAAAATGGAAAAATGTCCTCGGATGAGGATAAAAAAAAAAAAAAAACATTGATGAGAGAGAACAATGACTGGCCGCCTCCTGCATGCCCCCTACTGGGGATTTGGCCCACCACCTGGGCATGCGTCCTGATGGGGAATTGAACAGGTGACCTCTTGGGGCATGGGTCGATGCTCAATTACTGAGCCACACGGGCCAGGCTATCCATTCATCTTTTGATGAACATATAGATCATCACTACCTGCTTGCTGTTGTGAATACTGCTTTGAACATTGGTCTATCTGCTGGAGTCCCTACTTTCAATTATTTGGGGTGAATTCATAGAAATGGAATTGCTGGATCATATAGTGATCCTATGTTTAATTTTTGAGGAACCAGCATACTGTTTTCCATAGCAGCCTTTTATTCCCACCAGCAATGCACAATGGTTGCTAACCTCAAGCTCCCAAACTCCAGAGACAAAGAAGACAGTGATCATGGTGATCAAGCCAATTTCAACATTTTAGAGGGGCCACTGGACACTACATTACCCTATAATAAGGCTAACCAAAACAACAAGCTTCTTCCTTTTTCCCCAAAATATCAACTCAGTAGGGCAAGGTTTTATCTTTTACTGGTAAGATGCCCTGATAACAATTAGGTATTATTTTGATTAACAGCTCTTGTTGTATATATGAGCCCCACTCCCAAACACACACAGTTAAATAAACTTTAGACAAGAGCAAAAGGGAAAAAGAGAGTATTAACAAGCAGAATGTTTATAGCCTGAACTGAACTAAGTCAAAGGTACCTGTCCTCAGCCACCCCTGCTCAGTCCTATCCACCAAACCTAGGTCCCATGGACTGACTGCTTCAATTAAACCTACTAGTTGCTCTAATTTAACAAATTCACATGTAAGCGTAGGAATTCACAGCAGAAAACTTACCTCTCGAACTTCATCATCTTCTTCATTAGTATTTTTTTGTCTGCTTTCTCGGAAACGACGTACCTGGGTTATAACAGAGTCAAAACAAGCATGTTGCTTATTCCTGCTACTATAAAATAAAGATGCTTTCCATTATAACACACAACTTGGAAATTTTAGTTTTGTCTCACAAAAGATTGAATAGAGAAATCATATTTTCCCAGTGACTTACATTAAAATTTCAGAGATGTACTCTAAAAAAATAAAAAATTGGCTCTAATCAAAATGTTCCATGTCACTGAAAAACAGTCTGTCAGACTGCAGAGGAAAAATTTCTAATATCCCGTGGGTGTTATACTTCAGCAATATAGTTAAAGAACTCGCTTTTAAGAAGTCTGAATTATTTATTACAACGCTCAAATCATTCTTGAACATCTAGCTACGTCTCAGGAGCCTTTCTGAAATGGTATCTGAAGTGGGTGGGCCCCTGAAGGTCCATTTTATCAATAGACTACTGCATGTTTGCTGACCATGGTCCTGATATCAAGAAGGATATTAGAGAATCTTTTTATATTGGTTCAGTAGAGTCTCATAATAGTTACATAGTTAAAGAGAAGTTCCATTTATTTAATAATTTACTCAGTTCATATTTATTATGCATCTACTATGCACCAAGCACAATTGTAGAAATTGAGACTACAACAATTAACAAAAAGGAAAAAAATTCTGTCCTCACCCAGACAGTGTGGCTCAGTGCATTGAGCGCCATCCCATGGACTGAGAGGTCCCAGTTCGATTCCCAGTCAGGGCACATGACCAGGTTGCAGGCTTGATCCCCAGTAGGGGACATGCAGGAGGCAGCCAAACAATGTTTCTCTCTTACATGGATGTTTCTCTCTCTCTCCCTTCCTCTATTTCCAAAAAAAAAAAAAAAAATCAATAAAAACAATTTTAAAAAAATTCTGTCCTCATGGAACTGACAGTATGTGTGTGAGGAAGGTTCATCAATAAACAAAAAAAGAAGTTTTATTATATTTTAGAATGCATGTAGGATCAAGGTAATTTAAAGCTAGACTGAGAGAGGTCTATTTTTATCTCTGAGGATCCTCTGGAATTCCCAAGGCCATTTTATTCACTGATGGTTTTCAATCTGAATAATCAGTTGAACAGCATTACTTGATTCTGTGACCATAGGGGCATTAAAAAAAACCCGAGAAGCCCAGCTGGTAGAGCTCAGTGGACTGAGTGTTGTCCCATGGATTGAGAGGTCCTGGTTTGATTTCTGATCAGGACACATGCCCAGGTTGTGGGCTCAATCCCCATAGGGGGCGTGCCGGAGGCAACTGATCTATGTTTCTCTCTCACATTGATGTTTCTATCTCTCTCCCCCTTCCTCTCTCTCTCTAAAAAAAATAAATAAAAACCTATTAAAAAAAAACAAAAAAAAAAAAACTGGGAAATTCCACAGATTTTGGTGTTCAAGCCAGGGCCCACAGTATCCTTAATACCTCCCTATACACATTTTTCTTCCTGTACCATATCATTTGCCTTTAATAAAAACCTTAAGTGAGCATGCTCAGTGGAATCTTGTGAGTCTTCTCAAATACCTGAACCTGAGAAATCTCTGCAAGGCAGTAACTGCTCCAAGAAAAATAAAGAAGGAAGAGGAGTTGGGGTAAAATCTGAATAGGATGATCATGAAGGGCCTCACCAGGAAAGTAATATATAACCAAAGATTTTAAAAGGCAGGGAATGAATTTTGCAAATAACTGAAGAAAACTACTCCATTCAAAAGAAAGAATATGTGCAAAGACACTGGGGCAGAAGCATGCCTGGTATGTTTAACAGCAAGAAGGTTGCTGTGGCTGGAGCAGAGATGAAGGTAAAGAAGTGACAAAGTCAGACTGAAAAAGGCCTTGTAAGAACTTTTTTAAAGGCAGGAGTGACTTCATCTGAAACATGTTAGGATCACCCACAGCTGAATTGAGACAGAATAGGGGGTGGAGACAGGATGAGGGTAGAAACAAGGAGACCAGTTTGGGGGCTACTAGAATAATCTAGCCAAGAACAGCAATGCTTTGGCCCACAGGTAGTGATGAAGGTAAGTAGTAGTCATATTCTGTATATTAGTCTGAAGGTAGAGCCGAAAGGATTTACAGACAGGAGACAAGTACAGAAAGAGAGGAGTCGAGGATGATGTCAAGGATTTTGGTCTGAGCAAATGAAAGAATGGTTGCTTCCATTAGAACACTACAGATAGAGCAGGGGCTGAGAAGTGGCAATTATGATGGGAATGTTAAAAGTATGAGATGTCTATCAAACATCCAAGTGGAGATATGTAGCAGGCTGCTGGCTACAGAAAAGGTGAGAAGAGAGGTTCTGGCAAGACTTTTGAAAGTCTTGCCAAAGAGTTGACATTTAAAGCCAGGATGCTAGATGAAATTACAAAAGGGAATGTGTAGATGAACAAGGGGTCCAAGCTGGGCACTCCAACTTAAGAGGTTGGAGATGAGAGAAATCAACAACATAAACTGAGAATACACAGACAAAGAGACAGAAAGAAACCTAGGAGAATGTGGAGTCCCAAACACCAATGAAAAAAAAAGGTTTAAGAAGAGGTCAAATGAAATTTAAGATGGAGTTGCCAGGAGGTCACTAGTGACTGTGACAAGAGCCGTCTCACTGGAACAATGAGGTAAAAACCCCTGAATAGATGGGTTTAATAAGGAGGGAGAATAATCAAGGCAGCAAACATAGAAAACTCCTTGAAGCAATTCTGCTATAAAAGGAGGACCCAGAAAAGAGAGCAGTAAAGGGAAACAAGATCCAGATTTGTTTGCTGAAAGAAATAGCAGCATGTTTGTTATGATTCAGTAGCAGGGGGGAATACAGAATAATAATCTCTTTTAAAAAGATGACACAGCATGTGAAAGTGCTCTGGGTGACATACCAAAGGTGCTGAGTCATTCACAGACGAGACACGAGAGGCAGAGTAAAAGTACTGAGCAGGCACTGTTTGCCAACAGTGTTCTGAGTACTTTCCATGTATTAATTCACTTACTCCCTACAACCACCTCGAAGGAGGTTCTATTATTATCCTCATGTCAGAGATGAGAAACTGAGGCACAGAGCAGTTAAATAACTCACTGGTGATTACACAGCTAGTAAGGGCTTTGGTTTTGAACATGGGTGGTGTGATCCAGAGTCCTTGCTCTTAGCCACCATACAGGCTCTCAGGAGTCATGATATCACCCCAGGTGAGGATGGTTATTTTAGGGGAAATTTTTTGGTTATTATTATTTTTAGAGCAGCTTGGGTTCACAGCAAAATTGAAAGGAAGGTACAGAGATTTCCCATAAACCCTCACCGGACACGTGCATAGCCTCCCCTATTATCCACGTTCCCCATCAGATTTGGTATATTTGTTGTAACTGATGAACCTACATGACATATCATCATCGCCCAAACTCCACAGTTTACCTTAGGGTTCACTTGGTGTTACACATTCTATGGGTTTGAACAAGTGTATAATGACATGCACCCACCATTATTATACATAAGAGTAGATTCACTGCCCTAAAAATCCTGTGCTCCACTGATTCATCCACTCACTCCACCCCTGCAAACTCCTCGCAACCACTAATCTTTTTGTCTTCAGTTTTGACTTGTCCAGAATATTACATAGTTGAAATCATATATTATGCTGTTTTTTCAGATTGGCTTCTTTCACTTTAGCATGCATTTAAAAAATAATAATTGCATTTAATAGTATCACATTGATATTAATATGCATTTAATTAATTAATATTAAGTAGTATATATTTTCACAGCTTGACAGTTCACTTATTTTCAGTGCTGAATAATATTCTACTGTCTGGACGTTTCACAGTTTACTTATTCATTCACCTACTGAAGGACATCTTGGTTGCTTCCAAGTTTTGGCAATTATGAATAAAGCTGCTATAAACACCATGTGCAGGTTTTTGTTTAGACATAAGTTTTCAAATCCTTTGGGCAGACACCAAGGAACAGTATATTTACTTTTATAAGAAACTGCCAAGCCGTCTTCCACAAAACTGCCAAAATGACTACCGTTTTGCTTTCCCACCAGTGATGAATGAGTGCCTGTTGCTCCACATCCCCAGCAACATTTGGGTTGTCAAGAGCGCTGGACTTTGACCATTCTAATAAGTCTGTAGTGGTACATCTCATGGTCGTTTTAATTTGCATTTCCCTAATGACATGATGTGGAACATCTGTTTATATGCTTACTTGTCACCATATGTCTTCGATGGGGTGTCTAGTAAGGTCTTTGGCCCATTTTTTCATTGGTTGTTTGTTTCCTTGACTTTTAAAGGGTTCTTTGTATATTTTGGATAACAGTCCTCCTCAGATGTGTCTTTTGCAACTATTTTGTACCAGTCTGTGACTGTCTTCTCATTCTCTTTACATTGTTTTATTCAGGGCAGGTTTTAAATTTTAATTAGGTCCAGCTTATCAATCATTTCTTTCATAGATTGTATATTTGGTGTTGTATCTAAAAAGTCATCACCATACACAAGGTCATCTAGGTTTTCTCCCATGTTATCTCCTAGGAGCGTCACAGTTTTGTGCTTTACTTTCAGATGGGATGGTCATGTTTCATTTCTGGTATGTAACTGAGAAATCCACCCAGGCTAAAAATGTATGAACCCAACACACCCAGAGTCACAGAGCGCGTGGTTTTAGAATGTGGATGATTTGCTCTAAGTGCCTTGGTATTGATTAATACTAGGTTTTCCTTGACAACACAAGACTTTAAGAGAATCATGTCAACTAACTGAAAAGCACTAAAATTAAAGTAAAAGGAAATGAGTTTTACTAATCTTTTGTTCTTCTGCTTAGAGGGAATTTGAAAACTAATGAAAATGATGCCCCATAATCCCACTTCCTGAACATAACCACTGATAACGTCTGGAATATTTTCTTCCATTTTCTTTGCATACACACACACTCACATATAAAATAAAAACAATTGAGATCATGTTGTGTATAGTTCTACATGTTTGAAATTCTTTTCTCACTAACAGTGAAAATATGTTCTTTACCAGTCTGATTTTTAATGGCTGCATGGTATTCTACAGAGTGTGTGTGTGTCAACATTTATTTTTTATTTTTTTGGTTAATCCTTACCGAGGATATTTTTCCATTGATTTTTAGACAGAGTGGAAGGGAGGAAGTGTGTCTGTGAGACACATTGATTGATTGCTTCCTGCATGACCCGAACTGGGGCCAGGGATTGAACCTGCAACCCAGGTACATGCCCTTGATTGGGAATCAAACCCATGACCCTTCAGTCCACAGACCAACACCCTACCCGCTGAGCCAAACTGTCCAGGACAACGTTTATTTTAATAAAACATTTCCAATTTTTCCCTACTGCAGATAACACTAAGATAAGTTACTCAATTTACAAGTCTCTAGCTCACTATTATCTTAGAAAAATTTCCCAGAGCTGAGTGAAAGGATAAATCACTGCCAAACTGCTCCTCAGCACACTGTTCAAACTCGCTTCTCCCATCAGCAGCATACTAAATAGTGTTCTCAAATTGTTGCCACTTTGACCAGTAAAAAACACAGTCGACCCTTGGACAACTCAGTTTAAACTACGCAGGTCCACTTACATATGTGGATTTTTTTCAATAAATATAAAGTCGGCCCTCCATATCCTCAGGTTTCACATCTGTGGATTCAACAAGTAAAAGAGGGGCAGCTATGTGCAATGTTCTACATCGTCTTAAATAAGAAATTTGAGCATCTGCAAATGTCAGTATTTCGGGGTGGCACCTGAGGGTGGACCAATCCTCAACAGATACTGAGGGACTACTGTAGTTTTTAGGTCAAAAGTTATACATGAAATTTTGGCCATGTGGGGGTCAGCACTCCTAACCCCATGTTGTTCAGGGGTCAACGGTATATTTACTTTGAGATTCTTCCATTGTCCAAGGCTAAACACCATTTTATTTTGTGAACCATCTATTCATGTCCTTTGTTCATTATTCTATTGAAATGTTTAATATTTTTCTTAGGATTATAAGAGCACTTTAACATTATAGAAGAATATTAAGACTTTTTCCGACTATATTCAAATATTTTCTCCATGTCAATACATTCTAATAGTTTTTTGACAATTTGACATGCATTTAAAATTTTTATGTAGTCAAATCTAATGAGTTTTTCCAGTGATTATTCCAATGCTTTTATGTTTAGAATAATGAATTTCTAGATGAAATTCAATATTTCAAACTACTTAAAAATTGAAATGAGCAGAAATTTGCATTCTACAAAGTTCAATTTAAAGCATTTCCTATTCTTCAAAAGAAGATACTGTCTATAGGGAGTAAAACTAACATGTATGGGGTATTAGTCATATTTAAGACTGTTCTAGACACTCATTAGACATTTTCTGATTTTAATCTCATTTTTTATCTCAATTTTATAGATGAGAAAACTAATAAGTCAGAGTAAATAATCAGTGGTTTACCAGAATGAAACTCAGGCTACTCTTAAGGAGAGTCTTTCTAAATAGACTTATCCACACCCGCCATATTAGTTACTCACCTCTTCATCAATTTTATCTTCTAGGGCATCAATATGACGTTCTTTAAGAAATCGCTGTGTTTTTTCCAACTGGTATTTCACTAATTCCTCTATGGCATCTTTCTCTTCCTTGTCCACAAATTCTTGTACTGCTTCACCCATTCCCCTTTCTGTTAGAAGTGAGAGCTGCAGGTTCTGTAAGAGAGATATAAATCACTGAATGCAGAAAATAGTATCTATTCCTTACAAAATAATTCTATATAAGCAAGGAAAGTTACAGAATATTAAGGGCCAGAAAAAGCACAGTGAAACAAGAAACGGGAGTAGAGTACAGGACAGGTGAAAATGCAGAGGCCTGAGTGGCTGGGATACAAGACCAGAAGGGCAGCTGATGATAAGAGAAATTAGGTTAACCAGTGTGGTAGGCAGAATAACGGCCCCCTAAAGATGTCCACACCCTAATCTCTGGGACCTGTGGATATGTTGCATGGCAAAGAAGAGAACTAAGACTACAAATGAAACTAAGGTTGCTAATCAGCTGGCTATAAAATCAGATTATCAGAGAGGATCCAGGTGAGCCCAGTGTAATTATGAATATCCTTAAAAGTGGAAGGGGAGCAAAAGAAGGGAGTCAGAGAGAGATGTAAATGGGGAGAATGGCCAGAGAGATACAACATTGTTGGCTTTGAAGATGATAGACGCAACCCATGAGCCACAAAATGTGTGCACTTCTAGAAGATGGAAAAGATAAGGAAATGGATTCCAACCTAGAGCATCCAAAAAGAGCACAGCCGTCCTGACACCTCAATTTTAGTCCAGGAAGACCGGTGTCAGATTTCTGACCTACAGAACTGTAAGAAATAAATCTCTGTTATGCCCTGGCTGGTTTGGCTCAGCGGTTAGAGCCTCAGCCCAAGGACCAGAGACACAGGTTCGGTTCCCGATAAGGGCATGTACCTCGGTTACAGTTTGTCCCTGACCCTGGTTGGGGTCGTGTGTGTGGCAACCACTCAATGTGTCTCTCTCTTGTTGATGTTTCTCTCTCTCTTCCTCCTTCTCACTCTCCTACTCTATCTGAAGATAAATGCGGAAAAATGTTCTCGAGTAAGAATTAAAAAAAAAAAAAATCTCTGTTGTTTTAAACCATTAGGTTTGTGAAATTTTGTTTTGGCAGCAACAGGAAACTAACACAACCAGCGGATCTTAAAGTGGCAGACACGAATGACTATAATAGTAGCTCTGAGGATCTCTCTATAGAACACGCCTGCGCCTTTCTCCACCCCTCCCCCCAGGCCTGTTTCCCTTGCCTCCCCAGCTAAGCAACAAGGGCCCTTTTGCCTCAACTTGTTTACTGAGCCCATTTCTTCTACCTCTATAACTTCCTAAATAAACTTTCTCTTATAGTTTGAGTCTTGACTCTGAATTCTTTCTTAGCCAGAACTTAAGTACCGAGGTAAAAAAAAGGGTAGTTTCACAATCCTATGGCTATGCTAATAATGTAATTCCGAAATTACATCCAGATGCAAGAAAAGTAAATCTTGGATTCAGCCTTATGCAGTAGTGATAAAAAGAAAGTAAGAGGATAACAACATCAACAATAATAGTCACAATAATAATAGTATTAACAACATTAATTAAGCATGGAATTTCTTGGTGTACAGTAGCTATAAGTGAATGCAATTAATTGCCACCCTACTTACTTCTTGAAAACATTCTGAGGATTCCTTTTATTTAAACTATCAATTATATATATCCCAAATAAAAATATTTTATTATAAGATAGCCATTATTCAAATTATAAACTATAATTAAGAAATTACCTTCTCTGCAGTTTGAAAATACTGTTTTACAAGGTCTTCTACCCTTAAAGTTGTTCCTTCTGAAGGTTTGGTAATGAACTTCCCCAAGTTGATCTCCTCTCCTAGAAAAAAGAAGTCCATAAAAAAAAAAAAAGCAGCTTCTATTATAATGGAAAGTGCCCAAACTCACTGTAGGTTGCTGTCAGTAGAGGGGGTATGGCCAAACTTTATCAACTGTCAGCTTGCTCAAAGTGGTAAATTTTGAGGCAAAAAAACATGGCATTTTTGCTAATAGCCACGGTATTTTCCCTAAAGTCTGTATTTGTTTTCCATAGCTCAAAATAGTATATCTCTTGCAACTATTCTCACATGGTAGTCCACAGTCCCCAAACCATTTCAGGGGAGCTCAAGGTGAAAACTATTTTAATAATAATACTAAGACGTTATTTATTTTTTTCACTATAGTGACATCTTCACTGACAACACAAAAGCAGTCGTGGGTAAAACTGCCAGTGTTTTGGGATGAGTCAAAGTAGCTCAGAACTCTACTAACAGTTACAACTACATACAGTTCAAAACAAAACAAAAACAGCCAATTTCACTTTAGAATGTCCTTGACGAAACTCAAAATTATTAATTTAATTAAATCTCAGCTCTGAAGTACATATCTTTTTAATATTCTGTGACATAAATAGGATGTATGTTTAAAGCACTTCACTTCTGCTGCATCTCAAGCAGGATGGCTGTCCCAAAAACTGCAGGTGAAGAATGAAAGGGGTACTAGGTAGGACATCAGGAAGCACAGGGCCCAGTACCTACTCTGCTGATAAGCTTTGTCAGGGAAACAAATAACTATATAGCAAGTGTTGGACCTGGTGTTGAAAGCGCAATAATAAAAAGATAGGATCCCTGGCCAGAAGAACAAATCGACACAAGGTGGTAAGTACTACAACAGAGGTAAGAACAGAGGATATGACATAGAGAGAAGAAACAAACTAATTCTGCTTAAAGAAGGTTAAGAACAATGTGCAGCTACCCAATGCAGCTATTATTTGAGTCAAGCCTTGCAGAATGAGTAAGATTCACTAAGGGAAAAAAAAGAAAAAGAAAATCTATTTTAGGCAGAGGAAAAAGTACATGTAACAACCTAGAGGATAAAGAAGCACAAATTCAGTATGCCTCTCGCAAAATGATAAGAACAAATAAACAGAAATCTTTTTTGAACATCAAGATGGCAGAATTAATATAACTTCATAAATATGATTACTACATTTTATTATACCTGACACTATGTTCAGATTGTTTACATAGAGTATATCAACTAAGCCTTGCAACAGTCCTATGAGGCAGACACAGTTATTATCCTGATTTTATAGACATCAGACAGGTAAAGTAATTTACAAAATGTAGCACATGTATTTTAGTAGAGCTAGTCAAAACAACAAAAATGCATTTAATAAAACATTCAATGGGGTTGTTGTTTCAATTGAGCAATTTATGGTTAAACAAAAAAGCAATCATTAGAACAAAACTGACTATAAATGAAACTCAAGCAATATAAGGTATTAGTTCTATATTCCATTCTTATAAATGCTACACCCATAAAATTTCAAGGAATTGATAAAGATGGACAATTGAAGTAAAGCACTATCAATAACTAATTAAAATTCATGGCACGAAAATATAATTCTTTGATACAAATTTTCTCCCTAAAATAGTATCCTATGAGCTCCATTTAAATATCTAAATGACTATTTCAGGTTGAATTAACAGCACACACAATTTTGATCACAATCTGACACTGAAAATAGAAGCCCATTAAAACTGAGTTAATAAGAACCTAGGTAGCTTACTTATAAACAAGGGCCATATTTTCCCATGAAAATTTTGACTCAATTTCTCTAAGGAAAATAGCTTCTCTATTTAACATGATAATATTTATTATGAAGAAACACTACCTTTGACCATGAATAACTTGGGGGGAAGGGGAGCTGACCCAACGCACAGTTGAAAATCTGTGTACAGTTTTTAACTCCCCAAAAACTTTACTAATTGCCTACTGTGGACTGGAAATCTTACCAGTAACATAAATATGTATTATATACGGTACTCTTACAATAAAGCAAACTACTGAAAATATAATGCTACTAAGAAAAGCAGAAGAGAAAGTACATATACAGTATTGTAAATATTAGTTGAAAAAAACTCCACAAATGAATGAACCTGTGCAGTTCAAACCCATGTTGTTCAAGGGTCAACTATTTCGGTCAGATGACCTGCTTTAATAAATGCTAAAATATGGGCAATTCGTTTTTACAAAATTATTAATGGAAACTAATTACCTTATCATCAGAACTATCAAACTGTGGGCCACCTCCTATTTCAAAAGACCAGTGTCCTTCTAAATCACTGAGCACCCTAAAGCTGAAGTACTTAATACAAAATCTGAGAATATGTTCTCTGAACATGAATAATATATAATAATATTTATTTTGAGCAGTAAATCTGTAAGGTCTGTGTGTTGGTACTCAGCAGCACTGTTTAAAAAAACAACGTCTGCAGAGAAAGCCTTCCTTTTCTTTTGGTTATCCACACAAGTTTAAAAATGACTGGTATCTAATTTTTAGAAGACAAGAAAGGTAATTTTCAACTATCAGTTTATTTGTCTAAGAAATCAGAAAGAATCACACTAAAACATTTTCCATTATTATTCTTCTTTTCTTAAAGACTGATTTACATAAGCTCTGAAAGAGCATTTTTTAATTTGTAAAATTAACCAGCTTACCTGTGTTTTCCTTTTGTTCTCTACGCCTGAAAAAATGAATAACATCTTTTGGATTAGCTACTCGATCCACAAATTTCTGGCTAAAGCGAAGAACATTGAAAGGTTCAAAACCTCCACTATAGTCCACCTGGAAATACAGAATAAGATATTTCGGTATTTAGGTTTATGCTCACACTTTTAACTTAATAAACTAATGTTTTACAGTTCATTTTAAAGATCCTGATGGTGTTATGCCATTTATTCTACTGCAAAAATAAAGCTTCAAAAGTTTATAAGCTTATGCAAAACACTTTGTTCAATGGAATCAAGATACAGCAAGAATTCTCATAATGTTGGGATAATTACATCTCCCCATGAAAACACTAGCAGTGACTGCTGTGGCTGGATGGCTCAGTTGGTTGGAGTGTCATCCCTTACACCAAAAGGTTTCGGGTTAGATGACCAGCCAGGGTGCTTATGGGAGGCAACCAATCGATGTTTCTCTCTCACACTGATGTTTCTCTCTCTCTCTTTAAAATCAATAAAAACATATCCTTAGGTTAAGATAATGAGAAAAAAAAAAAAACCACTAGTAGTCTAGGCACCAGGAGTAACATCTGAAAAGGAGGTGGAATTTTTAAACAGATTTTTAAACTTCCAAAACAGAAAGAAAATTCTCCACCAAAATATAATGCTGGCCCTAGATGCATTAGTTAATTGGGTCTATCTTCTTAGGTATATCCTCTTACTCTAGACAATAAAAAATGCTAAGAAAATCCACATAGAAAAATAATCAAATCTGTGAGCTTTGAGAAATGATTACCCTTCAAAATACAGAATCTATTTAGAACTAACAATTGCTCCCAAAGTAGTCTCTTTTTAAAGAAGTCCAGAGTGGTACAAAGAAAAATACTACATTTCTTTCTAAGAGATAGCTGACATTTGAACAAAGTGGAGGTTAGGGTCACCAACCATCCACGCAGTTGAAAATTCCACATATAACTGTTAACTCCCCCTCAAATTATAGCCTACTGTTGACCAGAAGACTTACTGATAACATACACAATTGATTAATACATATTTTTATGTTATATGCATTATATACTATAGTCTTACAATAAAGCTAGAGAAAATAAAATATTAGAAAAATCATAAGAAAAAAATATATCTACAGTATTTAATGAAAAATCCACATATAAGTGGACCCATGCAGTTCAAACCCATTGTTCAAGGGTCAACTGTAAATAATTTTTTTAAACTAGCTGTTCTTAATGTAATGCTCTGGGAACCAGCATTATACCGCAGCACCAGCCTATCCAGACTACTCCCTAACCTCCGTCCAGTCACACTCTTCATCACACTCAGCTCGAGCTGACTTCAGTTCATACACTTGCTATCTAATGTGTCTCACAGTTCCACCTCCCATAAGCTCCACAGTTCAACACTTCGTGTGTATTATCATCCCTGTGTCCCCAGCACAAAGGACAGAAAGTCTTCAATGAATATTGGTCCACTGAATCAATGAATTAATGAAGGGCCTCTGGTTGATATAATATATACTTACATGGAAATATCTATTCATTTGTTTCACAAATAAATTAATAATTTACTGTTAGGAAAAGGAATGCCAATTTTCTATTTAAGTCCATTGGTTCTAATGATATCAGGCAGACATAGATAAGAAACATGGGATCTTCTGCCCTGATAAAGAGAACTATGTGGTTCTTCCCAAGCAACTATGTTTGTGGTACACAGACCATCTCCACAGCTGCCATGTTATTAAACAAAAAGTGAAATGCTCAAGCTACTGGATCTCCCCAAACTCTTCAGACATACTTTATTAAGTGTTCACAATGTGCTAGGCACCCTGCTAAGGGCCAGGGATACAGACATGAATAAAGCATGGTTTTGGTTGTCAAGAAATTCACAAGCTGAGTGGGAAGAGAAACACGTAAACAATCACTACAAGCAGAATGAAGTGTTGCTGTAGTAAGTATGTATAGAGTAAACTGAGGACACAAAGGAAGAAGTAATGACTCTGAATGGAGGTCAAGAAAGGCTTCTTTGAAGAGGGGAAGCTTTAGTGGGTGTTGAAGGAGATATTATGGAAGGAGAGAAGCACATTCCACGCAGTCGGATCATGTGGGCAAAGGGGGGAAAGAGTGAAATAAACTCTGTAATGCTATCCTCTGAAAATCAAGTTCAATTTATCTAAAATAGGACTTACTCAAAAATAAAATAAAATAGGACTTACTCGCAGTCGTATAAGAGGCTTATCTGGCTGTCGAGAATTTCCTAGACGTTCCCGTTCAGCATTTTCAAGCATTTCTTCAATCTCAACATAAAAATAGACATGACTCAGGGGAGGAATATTACTGGCATCCAGTGGATAGAGGTCAGAGAGGATACTGTTAAAATCCTACAATGTACAGAACAAGTTCCTACAACAAAAAATTACCCAGACTAAAATGTTAGTTGTGCTGATGTTGAGAGACCCTGGGTTCCCTGACCCAGGCCAGACCAAGTAATTCATTTTCCATCTCCCAGTCTTCTGAGATTGGGTTCAGGGACAAGTACGTGACTTCATTCAATTGTAACTCTATGCTAGGGTTTATCTGGAGCTACAGGTAAAAAATGATTCTTTCCAGCTGTAAGGATAATGTAAGTCTGTGGGCCACTCTGTGAAAACACCTTCCTTATAGCAAAGTAAGACAGTAACCATCAGAATCCTGGCACAGGGCTGGAAACAGAGAAACCCATCATCTTAATTTGAGTTGCTGAATCTAATCATCTTGAAACCAGCATACCTTTAACCTTTTCAGTTATGTGTTACATGTTGTTGGTAAAGCTGTGACACTGGGCAAATTACTTGATCTAAGGTTCAGTTCCTCTTTTTATAAAACGTGGATGGTAGAATCTACCTGTCCACAGCATCCTTGAGTGGATTAAATATAAAATGTTGTCGATGGTGCCCAGAATATATAAGCAGGCAATGAATATCAGTGATCATTATTATTATCATTATTACTACCTCATGTTTATGAAAATAAAATGCAAAGCAGAAGAGTTAGCACAGAATAAGAACTGAGTTATCAGCACTTAACGTTATTAAGCTGTTAACTTATATATTATTAAGTGCATTCACCCAACTTCAGTAGTGCCTCTAGAACTTCTGCAGAGGTTTAGGAGTAGCAATTGCATGAAAGGGGAGGTACGGGACTTACACTGAAGTTACAAGGTACAAAGCAAGCACATTTTAAGATTTTATTTGGGATAGCTTTTAGGGAGAAAGGGATGCCTAATGGAGATTATTACAGAGGTTAAGGCTCTCCTCATCTATCATAATATCCTTCCATTCGCCAAAGTGGCTGCCTGCTTTCATAAATAAAATATACTTATCAAATCAGAATAAAAAGAGAAAAAAGATTACGTCTATGTTTTTGAGAAGAAGAAAAGGAAATGGGAGAGGGGCTTAGTTAAGATTTCTTCTATGTATAACATTCCTCCATCTGGAAGACTCAAAACAAAATATTTTTGATACAACTAAACTCATTTATTGAACAACAGTGTTTCCTTACAGTCTTCATGAGACTAACAAATATAGCAACTTCCCTCTACTGAAGTATTTAATTCAGTAAATGATCTCTTAATTAAAGCAGATCTCATTGACCTTTATCTTGAAGAATTACCTTCTCCGAACAGAAGCTTTGTATAGCTTGGGTTACTTTAGGATTATCTGGGTTAAAAATGTCTGGATGATTAGCCAGAATAATATCCTCCATAAAAAACTGCCGCACTGTGTGAAGAGGGATTTTCTGCATATTCATCTTCCTCCCTTTAATACGCAGCAAACCGACGTGTCTGAAATGAGGAGGGAAGGGAATGCCTAGTCACCGTGTAAATTTCCTCAGGAAAATGCGCACATCAAAACTAACATACTTCTAAGTTTCTACAAAATCTTTAGAAAATCATACCCTTAAAAAATACTTTCAGTAATTTAATGTTATCATGCAGGAAAAATGTTAAATATTCTTCTTCCTCAGAACAAAATCTACTCTTCCATCATTTTTCCTGCCTGAACAAATATACAACTTCAGTAGAAGACAAACATAACAGTAAGTATAAGATGTTATTAGGACTATAATAGTAGTATATATACTATTACATATATGTGTATTATGTGTGTATATATGTGCACATGCATACATAAAATAAATGAGAACTATGAAGAAAAAAATAGCAAACTTACATTCTACTCCATATTCCTTAAACCTATTATTATCATCTTAATCATCAGAATGTGAGTGGATTAAAGGGTAAAACCACTGTTAGTTAATCACTATTAACTATATTATTGTATAACTCCCCCCCTCAAAGAAATAAAATATGCTATTCTGTTACATTTATAACCAGAAAAATCTCATAAATGGGTTTAGGTGAATTTATTAATGGACATTGTGAAACTAGTAATTATCGATAGCATTCTAACTTGAAATTTAATAAGTAAAAATGTTAGTCTTGAATTTGTCTAGTGAACAGCAAAATCATTAACACCATTGGGATGCTGTCATATTGAAAACACCTTACAATCTGGGAAAATAGCAAGATATCAATGATCTATCTTCATAAATAAATCTATCATACAAATAGCAATAGTACCTTGAAACTATGGGATGATTAGAATATTATAGCAGGAATTTTTTTTTAATTGATTTGGAAAAGATAACAATTACTCACTTCTTCACAGCTTCTCCTGGGGAAAGAGAAGTAACCACTGAACTTCCAGGCTGTGATATGTAAAAGAGTTGTTGTTCATTTCTGATTGGAGCTATTTTACACTCATGTTCATGGCCCCAGATAATAAGATCAAGGAAGCCATCCAAAAATTGTTCTGGAATGAAGTTAGTGTTTCCATGTTTACTCCTATACCAAGATTTTAAAAAATAAATATTATAAATGTTCAGAGATATTTAAAAATTCGTATTAAGTATTCTATACAGATTCTATTTTCTTCTTTCATTAAAGAATTATTACATTCCTTCTATGTGCCCACACTGTGCAAGGGATTGAGAATACAAAGATATTACGTAATTTCTCAAAAAGCTTACAAATTTTCAGAACTCAGACAAGTAGGAAACCCCAAAGAGAACGCAGTCAATCCTACATTTAGATGCAGATCACAAAAGGTTTAGAGAGGAATAACCCTGTCAGAAAAGCATGAGCTCTATCAATAGTAAAACCTGTAGGTTAATCTAATTACACAGAAAAAAAAATCCAGAAAATAAAAGTGAGTTAAGCCTAAACTTTGCAGAATAAAAACAATTCTCTAAATATGCCCAGTCATTTCTTAACATCATCTGTTTTATTCCTTATTATAAAAATGAGAGTAAGAATGTCAATCTTACATAAGAGATAAGAGTTTTCCATATTAAATAAAGTATCATGTGAATAAGTGATTTGCAAACTCTGGTTTCATCTCTAGATTGGTTGTTGTTATTAAAAGATATGTAAAAACCCAAGGTGAGTAAAGGCAAGGAGGAAAAGTTTATCCTAACACTGACTTATATTGTTGGGAATTTAAGTAAAAGTGTTCAAATACTTTGACCTAGCATTCATTTAATGCAAACCAATATTCATTCAACAAACATTTTGATACTAAAGGCACAGCAGTGAACAAAGTCCTTGTTCCAGTGAGGGAAACAAGGAACAATACAAGATATATATGTATATGCATATGGTATACACACACACACACACAATTTTCCAGGTAGTGATAGATGCGACAAAAATAAAAGTGACACGGAAGGGAAATGTCACATTATACATAGTGTGGTCAGGAAAGGCCTCTCTGACAGGTGACAAATGAGCAGAGCACTGAGGTGAGGGATTAGCAGGCAATGGAAGAAAGACCTAGGCAAAGGGACGAGCAGATGGCAAAGGTGCAGAGGTGGGAATGTGCTCAGTGATTTCAAAACAGCAAGGTCAGTGTGGCTGAGCAGAATGAATGCAGGTAAGAGCAAGAAGTGAAATCAGAGCTAGACCATGTACCCAGGAATATTTTTATGTACAAAACATATATCTAGGGTCTAAAACTAAAACCCTAATCCCTTTAGATTCTACCTTAATAACTTCTCAGCTTTGTCCCTTACTTATCAATCTTAATGACATCACTGGTACCATCTCACATGTTTTTATTAAAATGATCACATGGTAAATCTTGCTTCTTCAAATCTCCATTCCTTTCAATCAATCCTGCACCCATCAATAAGATTAAACTTCTTAAAACTACTAACAAAAGAAAACTGACCTAGCTATATGTAATATTCTGGAAAAATACCTGCACACATGCACCAGGGGATGTGTATAAGAATGTTCACAACAAGAAGGTTTTATAAAGCAAAACTCTGGCCCTGGCAGCTTTCGCTCAGTGGTTAGTGTCGGCCCGTGGAGCAAATAAGTCACAAGTTTGATTCCGGGTACCTTGGTTGTGTTTTGTCCCCAGCAGGAGGCAACCAGTTGATGTATCCCACTCACATCAATGTTTCTCTCTCTCTCTCTCTCTCTCTCTCTCTCTCTCTCTCTCTCTCTCTCTCCCGCCCTCCCTCCCTCCCACCCACTCTATCTGAAGATAAATAGAAAAGTATCCTCAGGTGAGGATTAAAAAAAAAAGCAAAAATCTGGAAATAACACAAAACATTCACTAACAGGAGAAAAGTATAACTGTTTACATCAGCAAAGATGAATTACACTTTTAAGTATCAAAATGGTTAAACCTTAGTAATGTAATATTGAACATAATAAGTCAGCTGCAAAATTTACAGCATTACTCCAGTTATACCAAAACAAAATAACTCATTAGAGATGAATATGTAATTAAACAATAAAGAAAACCAATGGGCTGAGTAAATAGAAATGGAAGATTGTGCTTCTCTCTGGGGTATGCAGAAAGAAATGGGGTCAGGAAAGGGCACAGGATAATGTACTGGTAATGCTCTACTTCTTTGCTGAATTTAGGCATATTCATTTTATGGTTATCATTATATCTTATCCATATACCCTAAATATTATTTTATAGGTATGACTATAGATTGAAAACTTTCAAAATGAAGTCACACAAAGCATATCTAAGTTTCACCTGACCCTGCACTGACATCTTTCAAAGAATGAGGAGCACTGTACTCCAACAGGTAAGCCAGGGAACAGATTTGGGGAACCTCAATCCTTGACTCAACAATCTCCACACAATACTTTTACCTGTTCTGATGAATCACAAATAAATTAAACCAGGAGTTCTCATCTTCTTTTGGTCTCAACATTGTTACTTTTTCGTTAAGGAACATTCGATATAGCCTTTCATCTGGAATGGATCCTGAAATGGATGTGACATTTTAAAACTAGTTTTTTACTTGTTTTAAAAAATGAATATGTTTTGATTCTAAATTATGTGCTTCTTTAAGCACTTCATTCTCCTATTAGTGATATATTCAAAATCTTGAATCAGTATTGGCAAATTAGTATGTTCCAGGATCTTGCATGACAAATGCTGAGCAGTTAAATGCATTCAAAGAATGTTTTCCTATCAAACATACATACCTTCAAAATCAGAAAACTGAAATAAAAATCTGAGTTTTCTGTTTAAATTGTTATTTTTTTTAATTAATTTATTTTTGTTATAGATGGTTCTCCTTTTCCCCCATTGACACCCTCCTCCTGATCCCTGCCGCCCCACCCCATCCCCAGCATAATTGTCTATGTACATTAGTTAGGCATACATGCATATAAGTTCTGTGGTAACTCTTCCCTCCCCTAACCCCACTCTTCTTAGGTTTGTCAGTCTCTACCCCACATCCATGTCTCTGGGTCCATTCTGTTCATCAGTTTGTTTTGGTCATTATATTCCACAAATAAGTGAGATCATATGATATCTGTCTTTCTCTGATTGGTTTATTTCACTTTGCATAATATTCTCCAGGTCCCTCCATGTCGTCTTAAAGGATAAGAGATCTTTTTTTCTTACAGCTGCATATAGTATTCCATTGTGTATATGTACACAGCTTTTTTTATCCACTCATCTACTGATGGACACTTGGGCTGTTTCCAGTCTTAACGACTGTAAATAGTGCTGCTATGAACATAGGGGTACATATATTTTTTCTGATTGATATGTCAGGCTTCTTAGAATATATTCCTAGGAGTGGGATCACTGGGTCAAATGGCAGTTCAATTCTTAATTTTTTAAGGAAACACCATATTGTTTTCCACAGTGACTGTACCAGTCTGCATTCCCACCAGCAGTGTACTAGAGTCCTCTTTTCTCTACAACCTCGCCAGCACTTGTTTGATGATTTGTTAATGGCGCCATTCTGGCATTAAAATTTCTATTTAAAGTACTGTTTTTCATTATCCCTCTATCACAAGTACATAGCACTTTTGATCTAACATATACAATATGAAATACACAGAAAAAGGGATGCAATAAAAATAAATATATTTACCACTAATGGTCATATATATTGTGGGTTTTTTTTGTTTTTTTTTTTAATACTATGCCTTTTAATAATTTTTTTTTTTATCCTCACCCGAGGACATTTTCCATTTTTTGTTCAGATAGAGTGGGAGGAACAGAGAGAGAGAGAGAGAAACATCGACATGAAAGGGACACATCGAGTGGCCGCCAACCACACAACCCAACCAGGGCCAGGGACAAACTGCAACCGAGGTACATGCCCTTAGCGGGAACCGAACCCGGGTCTCTCTGGACCACAGGCCGACGCTCTAACCGCTGAGCCAAACCGGCCAGGGCTAATGATTTAATGAATTTTAAATCCTCTGCCCCAAAGAATTAGCTTAGTCTAGTGGAGGAGGTCAACACAAACAAGTAAACATACAAATTACAGTTTTTAAGTATTATGAAAGGAGGAAAAGTCAGGATGCTAAGATGGGGAACATCAGTGAGGGGACGTGGTTGCTACTTTATACAGAGATTAGGGAAGGCCTTGGAGAAAAGCCAACAATGCAGAATTCTAAGAGCTAGAAGAGGCCTAGCTTTTGAAGAGAATTCTGTGGCCAACAGAATACAAGGAGAAACAGAACATACAACTAGAGAGGAAAAGTCAACGCATACAAAGTCCAAAGAAGGTGGATCTATTTACGTCTTGAAGCACTGAGAACACTCACAAAATTTGTAGGTAGGGAAAAATTTGAGGGACAGGAAGGCAGTTTAGCCAGTTGGCAATCAGCTCCAAGACAGCAGGGAGTCTGCAGGCAGAAAAAAAGTGGCAGCAGGGCAGCAGGAGAACAGTGATGGCCCTGCCCACCCCCTTGCCCTGAGGCCCGCAATAGGCTGTGAGAAATCGTGGGACACAGTGACCTCAGGGCATCAGAGAGTAGATGTACCACTCAGAGAAGAGCCTAATGACATGAGGAAATTTGCTAACTATAAAGAGAGTTCTAGAGTATACAGAGAAGGGATGGGGTGAGAGGAGGGGTGAAGGGTAGACAAGAGTCCAATTAAGGAAAACAGAACAGGATGAGATGAAAGTTTGAGAGAAAATGAATGACTGAAAATAATGGGAGGCCTTTAGGCTGAAAGTGAGAGGATCAACCATATTTCTGCAGTTATGAACCCTAACACTGTAGTGATTAAAATACCAGTCGGTGGAGTTTAAGAATATTTCACTTTCTGTTCAATCACTTGCAGAATCAGACATATACCTCAACCTCATTTTTCATATCTCTAGAATATTATTGATGCTTTTCTACTTGTTAGAGAAATTATGAAATGGACAAAGACTATAAGCTCCCTAGAAAAAGTGTTTAAATAAACCATCCATCATAATTTATTACTGTAAAAACATATTCAAAGACAACTGAAGTAAAATAAGATCTTCAAAGGCTTCTATTATACAAAAATCATTCAAAAATCATAAAACCTGTGTTGAGGCAACTGTGTGAAATTTTCCCCCAGTTTCTCTCAGGGTAATTTAAGGCTGATTTAACATGGAATATAATTTTTTAATACTCTACACACAGTAAGCACAAAAAGCTATTGTATCCATAAAACAAATAAAATCTCAAGCTGAACTTAATCCAAGGAAGATACAATAAATAGACTTTACACTCTAAAAATGTCTTTGATCTTTCATTCATATGGAACAAAGCCTAACTTTTATCTGCTGGACACTGAATAAATTCAAGATAGTAAAGTGATAAGGCAAATTTTAAGAGCATTAGAGATGACAGCTCTAGACTAGCACTGTCTAATAAAAATATAATGTGAGTCACTGATGCAGGTCAAATATAGAATTTAAAATTTTCTAGTGGCCACATTAAGTAAAACAAGTAAAAAGAAACAGGTAAAAATAATTTTAATATATTTTATTTAACCCAATATATTAACAAGGTATTTTACATTTTTTCTAAGTCTGAATCTGGTGTGTATTTTACACGTCTAGCATATCTCAGTTCAGACGAGCCACAGTTCAAGTGCTCAGCTTCTATGTGAGGCTAGTGATTACTACACTGGGCAGTGACGCCAGACCTCTCAAAGACTTCCAAGACACCTAGTCTCTAAGTGTAATGTGCAGGATTCTCTAAGTCTAGAAGAAAGAAAAAATGAACAATAAATAGATGTTAAAGAAAAAAGTTTTTTTTCACCAAAACTGCTATTAAAAAACAAGTATCAGGTCTATTGACCCTTATTAAATATTAAAAAATTTCTACCAAAAACCTCCTATGATTTTTACAGTAACTCATAAAGAATATAGATTTGCCTCATTTTCCCCCCAGACAGCAACAAAGTTAACTCCAGAATTTGACTTCCCAGTTGCTTAAACAATTACATATTTATTGACATAAATAATAAAACCATCTTACCTAAGCCATATAGAGCAATTTTTGTGCTTCCTTTTTGAAGCAAAACCGGACTAATGTCTATCTTCTCCACAGACATTGAACGTCCAAAGTGATTTACAAATCCAGCACAACTTAAAATATCCAGGGCACAGAGCGCATCAGCCTACATAACAATATTTTCAAAGAACATTCATGTGTATTTAAAAACAAGTAATCTGCACATCACATTACCTATTAAAGTATATTCTATACACTAGTTACAAAAACAGATTCTATATACCAGTTACAAAAACAGATTAACAGTGTCTTCTCAAAACAAAATTACAATGCTAAAAGTTTTTGCTAACCATATTTTTTTCTGTTAGAAATGACCTGCAATTGGAATCACATGCTAAATGCAAAGTGAACATTTCATCAAAACTTGTGCTGTCTTGGCCACTGGAAAATAAAAACAGGCCATGAAATAAGTGCTCTGTAATATTAAACAGGCCTCTTAAGATTGGGGGTGGGAGGAGGAGGCTAGATAACTAGTGATTTATAATATTCATTACCAGATAAAACAAAAAAGTATTTTCAGTTTAGAACCTCTATTATTATTTCAATATAAACAGGTCATAAGATGACCTAATTTACATTTAAAACTGTTTATGAAACAATTATTTCCCACAGGTGAGATTCTATGAGATAAGAGATATAAGAGCACTTGGTAAACTGTAAAGCATTACACAAATGATAGGTTTGCTTATTCTTACTCCTGGTGATTTATTGTTAATCTCAGCACTAATGAAATAAAAGCATACCTCACACACCAATTATTCCAGATTTTAAAAAATTATCCAAAAAGCAGTATAAAAGCTTGTGTGAATGATAAAGTCTATTTGACTTTTTGACTCTATTTATTTTAGTAAGAACTGCTTTCCACAGACAAACTAAATTGACCATTTCTAAAATTTCAAAAACCTGTAAGAACCCAATAATTACCCCTGTGGGATCATCATGATTGCCATGAACACTAAACACTGGAATCGAAATGTTGAGATTGTCATCTTGGTAGTTCACCCAAGGAAACCTTAAAAAAATTAAAAAAATAAATTTTTAAAGGGAATTGAAGGTTCTGTAAGAGACAGAGGCTGTTTCCCCCAGTATCCTCCTCCAAAAAATAATGCAGTTATAGGCAAACTGGATGATCTAAGTTGGCAAACAACCACAAGTTTGGAGCCTTAAAAAAAAAACAAAAAAAAAAACCATAGGCAACAATTTATTTCAATTCAAGTATATGTCAAAGTACTATTATTTATTAAAGAAAACACTACCATAAATGATGCTTGTGAATTGCATAAAACAGTGGGTTTTCAAAAATTTAAAAGCTACTATTTAAGGTTTTTATTATAAAAAGGGGAGAGCAAGAAACACATCCACTTTTTTTTTTAATCCTCACCTGAGGACATTTTTCCATTTTTTTGTTCAGATAGAGTGGGGGGGGGGGGGGGGAGGAAACATCAACGTGAAAGGGACACATCTAGTGGATGCTCTGCCACCCGCACAACCCAATCAGGGCTGGGGACAAACTGCAACAAAGGTACATACCCTTAGCGGAAACCGAACCCAGGTCTCTCTGGACTGCAGGCTGACGCTCTAACCACTGAGCAAAACCGGGCAGGGACACATCCACTTTTAAATCCAAAAGACCTAAACTAAAAATTCCAGCTCTATCACTTACCACTTATGCATCTTAAAGTCTCCCATCCACTCCTGTTCCTAGTCATCTAGATCCTCTTCTGAGGCAAATGACATTAACAATTCCTAGTGCACCTTTGCAAAATTACATTATACCTGTATAAGCACATAAATATATCTTCTTCCTTCTTACACAAATGACAGCACAATATAGATTACTGCACCTTGCTTTTATCATTTAACATATTTTAGAAATCATTCTGTATCATACTTAAGGAGTTTCCTTGTGCTTTTGTGGCTGGACAGTACTCCGCGTATTGATTACAATGTGTTTAAGTAGCTACCTACCAATGGACATTTAGACCATTTCCAATCTTCTGTTTTACAAATAATACTAGAGTCAGTAATCTTGTACAAAGATGCTCTTATAAGAAGACAGGAAATTATCTAGAAAGAAAAGTTGCTGGGTCAAAGAATACGTGTGAATTTATAAATTTGATAGCTACTGCCAATTTCACTCCATAGAGACTGTACAAATTTAAACCTAATACAATGGCAATGCATGAGAGAGACAGTTTCCCCTTACTCCATAACATAATACTTTATTATCAAGCTTTTAATCTATGCCAGTGGTTCTAAATGCTAGCTGCACATTAGAGTTATCTAGGAAATCTTTTAAGAAATGCCCATGCCCATGACACACTCAATGAGATTAACTGGCCTGAAGACTGGACATTAAGTATTTTTCAAGATTCCTAAGTAACTATAATGTGCACCAGATTGCATATCACTGCTAATCTAATAAGAGAACAATATTTCAGTATACTTCATTTTGTATCTTTCTTATGAATGAGCTTCATTTTATATCTTTCATATTCTTTTAATATGTTTAAATGACAGTTTATTTCCTTTTCTGTGAACTAAGTCCATATTCTTTACCAATATTTTTTATTAACTCATGAATTTTTTATTGACTTGAAAGGACTATTTATCTATTGGGAAAAGTATATCTTAATTTAAAATTAGCTGCAAATATTCTTCCTGGGCAGTTTTTGCCACACAGAAATTTACTTTTACAAAGACAAAAGTACCAATCTTTTCTTTTAAGGCTCCTAGGTTTGTGTCATACTTAGAATAGCCTTTTCCACATCAAGATTTTCAAAAAATGTATAACAATTTCTTCTAGTACTTTTATTAAATAATCCATATTTTTCATGGAGATATGATGCCACCTTTATCAAATACTAAATTCCTCCATATATGGAGGCTGCTTCTATGTCAAAAGGACATAGGCAATCTGAAAGAACACCCAATGGCTAAAGCTGGTACAATTTACTTGAACAACAAAACAGATTACAACCATATTAAATTATAACCTAAAGGAGGGAAAAATAAGTTCATACTAATAAACAATTGAATTAGTACCTAATGACATAGACAACTGAATAAGTAAATAAATAAATGGGAGCCAAGGGACAATCTTCCTTACTAAAGAATACCACTCAATAAATATAGAAAGAATGTAGAAAATCGAAAATCACCATTAGAACACCACAATCATAACTGCTATAGGCAAGAGCCACTAATACATGCTAAAACCAGTGGACAAACTTTAAAGAGAAACAAAATGGTTATATAGCCTCAAAATATCTCTCCCAAAATATTTACAAGTTACAGTGGTGGTTTTAACCATGGCCATAAATTCTTTGACACCCCTCTCTCCTGGAAGTGGAACTTAATTTCCTCTCTGAGTGCAGACTGGACTTAGCGACTCCATTCAAACAGTGCACGGAAATGGAAAAAAGGAACTGGACAGCAGAGAAACCTGGCCGACACCACCTTTACCAGGTGGGTCAGTGTCAACAATATCGTGTATGCCCGACATATATGAGAAAAGCACTTCACCTCTGTGGGGAATATTTTTCCCCAAAAAGCATAATCTTAGTCTAATCACGAGAAAAAGCCAAACTGAGGGACATTCTATAAAATATATGACCAGTACACCTCAAAAGTATCAGAGTAATAAAAGACAAGGAAATACTGAGAAACTGGCATAGGCCGAAGAAGACTAACAGAACGTTTCAGCTAAATGCAAGGCGGTATTTTAACACAATGTTTAAGAAAAAGCATGAGTACCTTTATGGACATGGGTTCTTGGTGGATATCATAAATAAGTCCCTAAAGCACAAATCTTTTAAAAAAATGTATTTGACTACATCAAAATTAAATATTTCAGTCAAAAAAAGGCACCATAAACAAAGTCAAAAGATAATGCACTGTTAGGGGGGCAAACCCATGCCTAACAAAAGCTAAGTATCTAGAATACCTAAATAACTTCTGCAAAGTCACGAGTAATAGGCAAAAATTCCAATTTTTAAAATGGGCAAAGGATATGAACAGAAGAGGATACTATAGAAATTGAAGAAAATACTCAGATCCACAATTAATTGAGGAATTACAAATTAATATAATGATGCACAGAATAGTCAAAGAGCTACATTTACTATGAAAATAGGTTATAATAAAGGTGAAATGGCTCATTGTTAATGTGTTTATGTATCTTATACAGAAAATACTCTACATAAGACAACTTCATGTAAGCATGTAAATATACTTACTTACTAAAACCAAAGTTGACTGACTGATCGCTGATAATTTCAAACTGTACAGGACGATCACCCATGCAATATTTTCTTAATAACTCGAGGCACGAATGTAATGTTTTTCTTGAGGGCTTATTTTCATGAAAGAGATCACCACCTAACAAAATAAAGTCCACCTAATCGGCAGAAAAGTGTTAACATTAGTAAGTTTTATAGATAAACACTTTCTAAAGATAAAACAGGTAGAAAAAAAATATCATACAAAATACTATCATGGATGGAAATTTAAAATTTTATATTTTACCCATTCAAAAGACCTTCCAATCTGGTGATTAATCTGACTCCAATTTATGTTCCTAGGCCATCTTCCAAAAAAAAAAAAAGCTATCTTCAGATTATAACACCAAGTCTCTTGCTATGAAACCCTAAGTGATCACATTTTTTTCATTACTCTAATCAAGGATAAATGTAGCACTTTAACAGAACCTATGAAAGAGATAGCCAATTCAATTCAAATTATTCATTCCACAATTATTCAGTTCCTCCAGGCACTGGCAGCTAAGGAAATAGCAATCTACAAAACAGATAATGTCCCTACCCTCATTAAATACTGACTGTGCAATAACCTGTACTAGGCCCAAAATATAATCCTTATCCTAAAAATGTTCAAAATCTAATGGAAGAGATAAACTGTTATGCATCTGGAGATAAGTCAGACTGACATGCACTAGAATGGATATGTAAATGAACCAGGAGCAGAGATGACATTACAATGTCATCTGAGGAAAGGAAATTCCTGAGAACATGGTGGCATTATGAAGAATAAATGAGATTCTGAGGAATGGCATTCTAGGAACAACCAAAGAAAAGGAGAAATCATACCAAAAAAAAAGTCCAACACACTGATGCTTTCAAGAAGTGTATAATCTATCCGAAGAAATTTGATGAAGTTCTTAATCATGCAAAAGATCCCAGTAGTACAGATCACTGCTGGAGACTATGGGGGGGGGGGATATGCCACCCCAAAAAGTGCCACTTTAGCATGGGGATTGTTTTGAGCTGAAGGCAATTAAGACCCAGCTGAGGCAGGACAAACATTTTTATCTTTCCCTTAACTGCCAGAAGTTTATATAGAGAGCCCATACCAGGAAGAGGGCTATTTAGAGATGACTTTTTATATCAGAAAGACTTATCTGCATTACCAAACATCTGCTCTTCCCATCTTCCTGTGAACTGCCTTCCTTCCCTTTGAAGCTCTAGCTCCTTCTTCTTTTGCTCAGGACAGTATGTAAGCTCGATTACCTGACTACCAGGGAGTCTCATACTTTTATGTACAAAATCTGTTTTTCTTCTCTTAATCTGTCAATATAATGATCAGACCAGCCAAAGAACCTAGACTGAAAGGGAAAAGTTTTCCATCCCTTCAGTAGTCAAAGAAGCTTTAACAAAAATGTGGGATTTAAGCTAGGTCTTCAAAAATGAACATGATTTGAATAAAGGAAGAAAATGGTCATCATCAAAGGCACAGAAGAAAACAAAACAAGTAAAAAACAAATTTAGGGGGAAGGCAAAAGGGGAGCAGTTTAAATGACACAGTTTCACTTTGCAAGATGAAAAGCCATTTGGAGGTTGGTTACACAACAGTGTGAATGTGCTGAACGCTGCTGCAGTGTACACTTAAAAATGGTTAAGATGGTAACTGTTACTATGTTTATTTTACTAGAAGAAAAAACTTTTAAAAAATGTTTTTAGAAACTGGTTTGTGACTCTAGGGAACCCCAAAAAGGACAGAACTGGCTTCTGTGGTTTTCTAGCCAGAAGTGAATCTAATCATGAGGAAGTGTCAGACATAGCCAATTGAGGACTCAGCTAGAAAAAAACTTGCCTGCACTCTTCAACGTCAGTCATGAATGACAGACAGACTACAAAAGACTAAAGAAATATGACAACTAACACGAAATGCAATCCTGGAGCAGGACTTAAATTCCACCTACCTGCCCCCAGATTGGCATACCAGACATTACTGAGGCAACTGGTAACATAATTTATTGAATCAATATTAATTTCCTGGTTTGGTAAGTGCACTGTTGTTATACATGCAATTTACTCTGAAATAATTCAGAAAATTGTGTGTGTAAGCAGAGAGAATAAAGCAAATGTGGTAAAATGTAGGAAAATCTGAGTGAAGAGTGAGGAATTCTTTGTACTACTATTGCAACATTTCTGTAAGACATATTATTTCAAAATTAAAGGTTAAAAAAAAGACTCCAAGGAACTAGGGAGTAGAAATAAGGCTGTAGATAGCAAAGGCCCTACCAAATAAGAGGACTTCAGAGTCAGGAAGAACAAAGGCAAAAAGTAAATGCACATGGAAGTACCAGCATGGGGCTGTGAGGGGAGGGGGCAGTTAAACTTAAGGAACACAGGGAAGGGAAACGAGAAAATATAAGAGAAGGAAAGGACAAAGTGGGGGCGGGGGGAAAGCTAATGCTTAAGGAAAGAAATATTTCAACACTTAAAAGAGTTAGTAAATAAAGGAAACAGGATCCTCTCTTAGGCCCTAGACTGGTATTTCAACTGCCTGCCAGAACATTGCCTTGAATTTCCTACCGGAATCTCCCAATTCAAATGGTCTAAATCAGAATTCATCACCTTCCCACATAAAGCAGTACCTCTTCCTCATTTAAAACCTGTTTCTGTTATTGGCACCACCATTCTCGGCCTTTTCCCTCATCCCCACCTACTACAACTAACCAATGAAGTATGCAAATCCTATCTTTGGAATCTTCTTGCATTCACTTCCTCTTTTCCATCCCAGGCTACCACTTTAAAAAGGCCTCAAACTGGTCTCCAATTCATGCTAAACCCTGTTGCCAGAAGACTTGCTACTAAATTGAGGGTACAAACTCCTCAATCCGGCATTTGAAGCTCTCCTTAATGCAGTTCAAATCACGTTTCTGGTCTCTCAAGATGTTTTCTAACAAACACATGAGTGAGCTGCCCAGAGCTGCTGTTCCCCTGACATACCTCATATTGTCTCACCTGTGTGCCCTCCCTCCTGCTTTCTGTGAAATGGACTTTCTCTATGCTCTTTACCCATCAAAAGCCTACACATCCTTTAAAGCCTAAGTTAAATGCCACCTTCTTCATTAAAACGCATCTTGCCTGATCTAAATATCATCTCTTCTACCTCTAAAACCCCAGAAAACACTCTTGATTTTTTTATGGCTCTTATCATCACATATGACCTTGCATCTGAGCATTTTGGACATTTGTATTATCTCGAATTTGTCTGCTACATATTCTTTTAAAGTATTGTAAAAGACAAACCCATGCTATGTGAACGTACAGTAAAATTTTTCCCATTAGTCAGACCTTACCCCCTGGACTTTAAGAGAATAGCAAGAACTAGCTGCTAGAGTTAATAGATAACCACTGCACTGTATAGATAACTACTGCTTTGTGTACACCAAACTGCTTGCACCTTCAGGCATAACAGCTAACCACAAATATCTGCTTCTGTACGTACGTGCTTGCTTGCTCGTGCTTGCTTGCTTGCAAACCCTTAGCCCTAATTCCTTAACAGGGGCTAAGACAACTATATAAGCAACCCTCTCCCTGAGCTCGGGGCTGCTCTCTCCTCTGGGTAGGATGGAACAGTCGCCGAGCGGCTAATAAAACTCTCTTAATTTGAACCCAGTTTGGAGTCTGAGTCTGGTCTATCTTTTTGGTCTACAACAGTATAAACTATGACATTTCTGCAGTCAGAATATACCCCATCAACATTTGTAAATCTTTAAACTATTTTCAAAAGTAGCTCCTATTTGAATTAAAGGCACAAAGCACACAAAACCTGCTTTGGGATTTTAGTATATTGATATTTAAACAGACAATGTGAGCACATAAACAAACCTCTAATTTTAAGGAGGGAAAAGAGCTTGCTGAATAAGGGAATACTGCAAAACATTAACCAAACTTACTTCATTTTCCTGGGCAAGTCTTAAAATTTCATCAAGTGTAACAAATGTATCATTTCCTCTGACTGCATCTTTCTCCATAAATCCCAGATGAATATCAGTTGCAACTAAAATTTTAAATGTATTTTCATCATCACTGTATTGAAAAAAATGTTTCAACATAATTCATTAAAAGAATGTTCAAGTAAATTGAAACCTAAATTTATAAAACAAATAAACAGCAGTTATGGAGTAAAATTACTTTTCTAGTCTTAAACTAAGCCTGAAAATTTGAAGTATTCAAAAGATCTTTCACATCACATGGTTTGCCTGTGACTAATTCAGTACGGAACAAGTGTACACAAATTTTTAAAAGGTCTGTGACTGCTTCAAAAAATTAACTTCGTCACAACTAGTTTTATACACTCAATTGTACCCTGGACCTGAAAGCTTTGTTTTCCTATTCTGATCCATAGCAAAAACCCAAGAGAATGTGACACCATATCTAAACTTGCTATTTATCCATTTTGCACTCCTCCAGGTAAAATTAGAGTTAACTGGTTAATTTAAAAAGCCCTTCCTCTTACTTTATAAGTAGATTTTATGCTAATAAATTAGTAACTTACATCCAGGCCCCTGAAGTTGACCCTTTGACTCTAATCTCTATACAAAGTTAGTGTTTCATTAACAAATACAGCCAAAAGACAAAACAAAATTATTTACAATTCCATTCAAATCATAGTATTCAAAGTTACTTTCATATGAAGCAGTAGTGCAATAGTTATTAATACCCTCTTTATGTTCCTTTTAATGTTCTTTAAAACATTTTTGTATCTATCTTTTCTCAACTCACACATGCAGTTAGATATTGCTGTCTCTGAAACATAAGAAGGCTAAAGACAGAGAAATTAACTGATTTATTGCACAACTAAGTGTTAGAAATGGGACTAAAACCCAGTTTTAAAATTCAGGCTATTTTTCACTAAACCATAATAAACTTTAAATATATATATAATTTTATTTATATATATATATAAATCTTATTTATATATATATATATATAAAATTCAAATCTGTATATGCAAGATTCTTCCAAAAAAGATCTCTCCAGAAACTTTAAGTGACACGTGCAGTTCAGACTGCCACGTACACAAGTAGTCTGAAAAATTTGAGATCACTACCCTATGCTTTCACAGCAACTTATGAAGTATTTTCATGATTCTCTCATTTAACATCAAAATTAATCTGAGAACGGCACTTTTATTCTAATTATACAAATGAAGAAACTAAGGCAAAGTTTAGAAAACTGCTCACTTGCTCAAGGTCACACAGTATTAACCAAGGAACTAAAACTAGGGAGAACGACTCTAAGTCTAAAGCTTTTTCTACATAATTGTTTCTTGTCCTTTTACTTATTTTCATTTTACTCAAAATAATTTCCAATTTATTCCTCTAAAAATGTGCTTCACCAGACTCGCCTTGACTAGTAAAACTTTATCATAAAAACTAAAGAATATTTATACCTGCGATACTTTAAGACAAAACCTAAGACATAAACTTGCATACTATAGCACCATAATCAAATTACTGCAAGACTCAATCTATAGCTATATATTGTCTTTTAGTTAGTAAATATATAGTAGGAATTTTTAAACATTTCAAATATTCTTTTTGACCACTATTACTTCTGTTTATTGTCAAGCTACCTACTGCTAATTTATTAAATATGTTTGGGGTGGAGGGTTGATCATAGTTGATGGGCTTTAGGAACAAAAAGCAACAAACAAGATTACAGAAGACAGGTGCTTACAGGGCATCTGTATGACTCATTTCTAGTCCAGCTCCTCTAGGACCAGTTTTCTCTCCCAAGTAATGTCCGGTCTTGAGCTCAAAAGTAATAAAACTCACTCGATTCCAAATTCTAAAAACAAAATTATATTATTATAAAACACGCATTTTTTAAAAACAGACTGGCAACAGTGGAAGTCTCATTTTCATCTAAGCACCTACTGTACTTTTAAGAGTCAAGAGTAGAAAATAGCACATCTTTAGTGCCATTCTAGTTTCACCGTTATGATTAAGCTCATTTCTTGTTTCCCTTTTCCATGCCCTATGGGAAACTGTTAAAATAATGGGCAAAAAGGGTCACACACAGTGGTTCTGGTTTAGCACACAAACACCTCTGAATGTGCAGAAATGTTTGAGTTGCTTGCACTGGCTACTCTGGAGCATAGAGGGGACCCCGTATTTCCTGCTCAAACACAAGATTTTCTAAAGGAACGGGCTAGTTTTGGAAAGAGGGTGGTCCCACGTTTAAAACTAGTGCAAGTAAAACTGAAACACGTTATCTGCGGAGAAACACCTTCAGCCGCCTGCAGAACAAATGGCCAGCATATTTGGGGAGGAACAGCTGCTATCTCCAAACTTCTGCCACGTCCAAATTCCCAGTGCCGTGGGGATTCAAGCCTCAACATGCCTCCACCACCGGCCTCTCGGAAGCAGAACGCGGCACCCCCAGGGCTCTTCCCCAGCCCACTCGGCCCCTTCTTCTCAGAGGGTCCATCCACTCTGGGCTTCCACTGGGGATCCTGCACAGAGAGGAGGCGGGTACGACTCCAGAATTCCCCATTTAAGACTCTCCAAAGCCACACCGAGGCTGTCTTACCCGGGAAGAGGGAGTGAGATTCGTGAGCAGAAAAGCAACAGCTCGGCCTGAGCCCGTCTCTGAGAACCGCTTGGACCTAAACCTGAATTAGGCGGGAGAGAAAAGCCAGCTGTCTCTCTCGCGATGCATCATTGATGACGTACGCGCTTCCAGTCCTCTGCGGCTTTCATTGGCTGTCGAATGCCGTGAGGGCGATGGGAAAGTAGCCGCAAGGCCCCGCCCCCGTGTATGAGCCAATCCTGAGCCGCCGAGAGGACGAACCCCGGAAGCGAGGTTTGCCGCGGCGAAGTCCCCTCTCTAAGGTGGGTGTCTCTTTCTTGCCCAGTACCACGCTTCCTGGTTGCTTTGTGCCACCTGGGAACTCCCGGGCCCGTAGGGGCGGGTCACTTGTCGACCCCGGCCTTGCCACAGGTACTAGATGGGGCTGGAGCCGTTACTCTGCTCTTGCTTGTTCCGAAGGCCGCAGGAGTGACTCCGGGCCTGTGAAGTGAACAGCGGGCGCCGGAGGGCCGGGACTGGTGGCCTTCTCCCTTATTCCCACTCCCAGAGGTAGAGCATTCAGACCCTCAGTTTCTCACGCCTTTCCCGGCTTCCCCTTAGCCCTTATCTCGGATTTAGCACATATGGATTGTTTTGTACTGACAACAGTAGAATCTAGTACAGTAAAAAAATTTAAAAATGAAGTGAAACTTTTTAGAAAATGTGGGCTTTTTCACTTCCATTGAAATTCCTTAATCTAGGGGAAGTTGTTTTAATCTATTCCAGCCCCCCCCCCCCTTCACCTGTAAAATGGGTTTAGGGCCCCACCTCTCACTTTGTGAATGTGACCTTTATGTTAAGAAACACCCTGTTTCTTCCAAGTATGGAATATCACCAACTAAAAATCCTGATTGCTTTTTTAATAATTGAACCAGGGAGATGCACCTGGGTTTAACTTTTTACATTAAATCCACCAATAAAATTGTATGTGTAATTTATTGTATCTGGAGCAATACATTCAAAATTTATAAAAAGAGGGGCTTTATAAAAAATAGAGTTGGCCCATGAGATCTGTAACAAGTGAATTTTTTGTTATTTACTGGTATTTATTGTTTCATGAATTAATGTGTGGTCATTTTCGTGTTGCAAAGTTCAGAGGATAGTTTGAGAATAAAGAAAAAAGTGAGAACCATTAAAACATAAAGCAATTCTGATAGTTTTTCTCATAGACTGAAAAGCTGGACAGGGCTTGGAACTTCTTTAGTGAAAAAAATCCTTACAATTTAAAATGAAGTGACAGGCCCAGAGAAGGTACTAGTCATGAATGATAGATTTAATGCTCTTGGCACTAGTAGTACCATTTAATGCTGCATTAGGAGTGTATACTATTAAACTTGTAAAATTAGATGGAAGTAAGTATCTTAGGGGTATGACTAAATCTCCAACTTTTCAGAATCCATTTCAGTCCAAATCAAGTGGTAGGAATTTAATTAAATTTAATTCTACAATATTTCTTAATGCCTCCTGTATGTGAGTGGGACATAAATATGTTAAATATAGTTTTTATACATTTTTTTTGGTCCTCACCCGAGGACATCCTTTCATTTTTCTTTTTGTTCAGATAGAGTGGGAGGGAGAGAGAGAGAGAGAAATCGACGTACGACCAACCAGTGCCAGGGACAAACTGCAACCTAGGTACATGCCCTTAGCGGGAACCGAACCTGGGTCTCTCCAGACCACAGGCCGACGATCCAACCACTGAGCCAAACCGGCCAGGGCTAGTTCCTATACTTAACTATTATCTTTTAAGAGAGCAAAACAGCCCTGGCCAGTTTGGGTCAGCGGTTAGAGCATCAGCCTGCGGTCCGGAGAGACCCGGGTTCCCTTCCCGCTAAGGGCATGTACCTCGGTTGCAGTTTGTCCCCGGCCCTGGTTGGTCCATGTTTCTCTCTCTCTCTCCCTCCCACTCTATCTGTACAAAAAATGGAAAAATGTCCTCGGGTGAGGATGAAAAAAAAAAAAAAGGTCAAAACAAAATTAGTGGTGAAATAAGATGATAAATAACACACACACACAAAGTAGAATTTGAGAGAGATCTAATTTGGAGGATTAAGAAAGACTTAATGGAAGAAGTAACATCTGGGAAGAGCCTTGAATTCAAACAAATATAGGAGAGGCTGAAAAATTGTATTTTAAAATACAGTTTCAATTACAATTGACATACAATACAATTTATATTAGTTTCACAATATAGTGACTAGACATTTATATACCTTGCATAGTAATCACTTCAATAAGTAGAAATGGTATTTTTAAAATATCTATTCTCCTCCTTTTCTTTGACTGATTAAAGTTTAATATGCTATGTAACTCTTTAAGCTGGTTTTGGTTTATAAATTCATATGGCAGCCTAGCAACATAAGCATCACTTCCTTTGGGAAGCCCTCTCTAATCCCTTAGGACCCGGTTAATGATGACCACTCCCCACCCCCAGAATATTTATTATATCTGGACATGGTCCTGTCATAGCACTTATCCTGCTGTCTTTTCCAGTCACTCCAACTTGACAGTAAGCTTCTTGAGGTTAAGATGTGGATCTTGTTCATTATTGAATCCCAGTACCCAAACACAGGCACATAACAGGTATTCTATTCATATTTGTTAAATGAAGGAGTGAATGATGGCCAAAATTCAGTTTCAAAACGAAAAGCTAATTAAGAACTATAGTTGTCAATCAATGAATAAGACTACTTTTAAAGCAGTGAATTTTCCCAAGCCTGAAATTATTAAAGAAAAAATAGAATAACTATTACAGATGTCATGATCAAGATATCTGCACTGATAATAGACTGGAACACATCTTTTTTATTCTATCTCTAGGGATCCCTGATTCTTTCAAGTAGTTTTTTGTTTAGAAGTCTTTGTTTCTGCTCTATAGTATCTATGTGTCTAGTTTATAAAATATGTGCCTGTCTTGCCCTGGCTGGTGTTGCTCAGTGGTTGGAGCATCATCCTATATACCAAAAGGTTGCAGGTTTCATTCCTGCTCAGGGTACATACCTAGGTTGTGAGTTCCATCCCCAGTCAGGATACATGCCTGAGGCAACCAACTGAGGTTTTCTCTCACATCACTGTCTGTCTCTCTCTCTTCTCCCTTCTCCCTTTCTCCCTCTCCCGACCTCTCTCTAAAAGCAGTAAGTATTTCCTCGGGTGAGGATTTTTTAAAAATGTGCCTGTCTTTATTAGTTATAATTTTAAAACTTCAAGCATTTATCACTCTTAGCGTAATATAATAGTATCTAAACCAATAGGTTCAAAATAAATACAGGCATACCTCAGAGATAGTATGGCTTTGGTTCCAGACCACTGCAATGAAGCGAAAGGTAATCTTTTTGCTGGTGGACGGTCTTGCCTTCAGTTTGTAAAAAAAAAAACAAAAAACACACATCTGTAATAAAATGAGATATGCCTCTACAGTTATAACCACTGACTTAGTAGAAGAAAACAACAACAAAAGAAATATTAGGTTATTCAAGATATAGATAACTGAAAGGTATCAGTTCTAATATTTAGTGAATATAAAGGCTATCAATAAACCAAAGAGTTTAGACAGGGTTTATTTTTGTATGTTTGTAAGACTCATCTATGCTGTTGATAAAGCCTCAATTAACTGTTTTGCTAATAATTTTTTGTTTGTGTTTTCAGATCTTGATGAATAAAATAAAGCAGATATAATTCACCTCTAAAAATATTATTTGTTCTCTGGTATTTGAAATGCATTGTGTTTAGAATAGTAGTAAAAATGGAGAAAGAGAAAGTAAATGATGGACAACCAGATCCAGAGAATTCCTTGGACTTTTCTGAACAGTTTAACCAACTTGAGTTGTTGGAAACACATGGACACCTTATCCCCACTGGTACCGAAAGCCTCTGGGTAGGGAATTCTGATGAAGATGAGGAACAAGATGAAAAGCCTGAAGAGTGGTATCAATTGCAAGAAAAAAAAATGGAAAAAGATCCAAGCAAATTGCTTCTTTGGGCTGCTGAAAAAAATCGGGTAAAAAAAAAAAAAAAATTGAGGAAGAAACCATAATATAAGAGGAAAAGTGTTCAATTTAGAGCTAGAAGACCTGTCCTTAAACCTCTATTTAGTCTGTAACTCTGGGAAAATCTTACTATTTCTGACTGCTATTTTCTAATCAGTAAAAATGGCCATGTCAGAGTTGGTATGGCTCAGTTGGTTGGTGTTCTATTCCTGGTCAAGGCACATGCAGTTTCTGTCTCCATCCCCAGTAGGGGGCATGCAGGAGGCAGCCAATCAATGTTCCACATCCATGTTTCTCTCTCTCTCTCTCCCTCTCCCTTCCTCTCTATCAATTTTTAAATCTCTTTTTAAATGGCTGCTTTAATACCTCTTTTATATGGGGTTTTGAGGATCAAATGAGGCAGTGTACATGAAAGCACATGGTAAGCTACAAAGAGTCAAATTAAATATTTAGAGGGCTTTAAGGATAATTAACTATAAAGATCACAAGCAGTCATCTGTATTTTTTAATCATTTCTATTAAGTCATTAGGATCATCCTAGAAACAAGTATTTAGGAAAGGGAAGGTGGGAACTAACATTTATTGGCTACCAACTATATATACCATGTGCCTTTACTATATTAGTTGATTGAAGCCTTGTATATCCCTAAAGATAGATAATATTATTCCTTTTTACAGATTAAGAAATTGAGATTTGGGAATATTGTTTTGCCCAGGATCATCCAAGTACGGTGATCCTACTTAACATCAACAGTCTATTCTTCCCATGCAGCTACTTCTACCTCATTTTATTGAGTTCCCTCATGCCTCTGTTAGTACACTAATAACTAAAATGACTTGCATTTTTTGGATAACTCTTTATCCCAAGAGCAACTGTATCCCACCACAGGCCTATCCAAACTGAAAATCTCTTCCTGAAAATGTGTCTAAGGTTGTTTTAGTTAGAAGGAATTGGGCTCTTTAATCTCTAGATTTCTTTATTACCATTACGTTCTGATAAAGAAGTTCTTTTTTTATTTTTTATTTTCTCTTCACCTGAGGACATTTTTGCATTTATTTTCAGATAGAGCAGGAGGGAGAGTGGGAGGAAGAGAGAGAAAGAAACATCGATGTGAGAGAGACACATCGAGTGGTTGCCACCCACACAACCCCAACTGAGACCGGGGACAAACTGCAACCGAGGTACATGCCCTTAGTGGGAACCAAACCCGGGTCTCTCTGGACTGCAGGCCAATACTCTAACCACTGAGCCAAACCGGCCAGGGCAAGTTTATTTTTTAAAGTTTTATACATTATGTACATTGGTGTGTTACTCCTACAGGACAATTCATCTATTACTATGAATTCTTTACATATGACATCTAAAATATCCAATACAATTATAGCCTGTATTGTTTTTCTAGGACTAAAGCTCTTGTGTGATAAGAGCTTTAATTGAACAGGGAATAAATATATGGGTTGATATTAAGAGAATGACATTCTTAAAAGCAATACTTTATGGTTAACACTAACGTGTTCATTCTTAAATCAGTTGCCCTTTCCCCTCCAAAAATGAAATCGTATTTTTATTTTAAAGTCATCTGCTAATAAGTAAATTTTTATTTAACTTAATCAAATCTGACACCACTAGGCAGTCTAATTTTCTTGATTTACTGTTTAGTTTTGAGTTGGGTTTTTTAAAGATCTCTATTTTTCTTTTCAGCTTACTACAGTACAGAGACTACTTTCTGAAAAGGCCACTCAGGTGAACACTAGAGATGAAGATGAGTATACCCCTCTTCATCGAGCAGCCTACGGTGGACACTTAGATGTTGTCCGTGAGCTAATTGCACAAGGAGCAGACGTTCACGCGGTGACTGTGGATGGCTGGACACCCCTGCACAGTGCTTGTAAGTGGAATAATACTAGAGTAGCTTCTTTCTTGCTTCAGCATGATGCAGATATCAATGCCCAAACAAAAGGCCTGTTGACCCCCTTACATCTTGCTGCTGGGAACAGAGACAGCAAAGATACCCTAGAACTTCTCCTGATGAACCGCTACATCAAACCAGGTCTGAAAAACAACTTGGAAGAAACTGCATTTGATATCGCCAGGAGGACAAGTATCTATCACTACCTCTTTGAAATTGTGGAAGGCTGCACAAATTCTTCACCTCAGTCTTAATGGTTCTAATCGTTCTCTTAAGTTTCTAAGTACTGGTGCCTCCTTTCTGTCAAAACTTCCCATAATACAAAGTTGACATCAAGTCTTACTACAAAAATTCAGTGGTAGTCGGTATCCTTCCAAGTGAATTGCCTGACCTTGATGTCAAAATGTATTTGAAAGTTGTTTGGATGTATCTTTAATGATTTCTGTGGAGTGTGGTTTTTATCAGAAAAAACTTTAACTTACCTATACTTAAAAATTTGTCATGGGTTGTACAGAAAACTAATGATATTTTTGGTGCTGATCCAAGAAAAATATATTTTTAAATATCCCCCATTCTGAATTTTTGTTCAGTATTTAGAATATTGGCATGTATTTTTATAAGGTAAGGTAACTCAGAATTCAATTTAAAAGTCTTAAATATACTGGTGCAGTTCAACTGTCATCTCTGTTACCACAGCCATTTACTTTCATTTTAAACTGTAAGAATTAACATAGTATAGTGACTTGAATCTTCATACGTTAAGAAAATTAAGAACCTAGATCTTTGTCCTTTAGAACCTAGACCATTTTCAGGAAACTAGTTAGCTGGGTGTTTAATCCATGGATGTTATATACTGCCTCCCCTACCACAATTCACATAGTCCTGAGGACAGTCCTACCTCACCCTGGTCCACCTACAGAATTCCTATTCTAGTGCTGAGTCAGCATGACTTTTAGACATGCCCACAATTATAGCTTGGTCTAAGAGATCATAATATATCTGCTACCTGGCTGGTTTTACCTGCCTAATCCTGCTGATTTGAGCACTGCTCATATAGCCTCTCAAGTTCACAGGAAGTATTGATTTTCCAGGGTCCTAATTTTATGCAAACAATATAAAGGCCAAGTGACAAATGAGTAAGGGGTTAATTATTATATTGGGGCTAGAACCATACAGTGGCTCAGGTTTTTTAAAAAAGCCAGTGTGGATAGTGACAAAAGCATAAATATAAATATTCAAAAAAAGAAAAGTTTTGAATAACAAAATAAGGCATGAATTCTTCCATGGGATGATGATGCTCACTCCACTGAGCCACACCAGCCAGGCTGTTTTTTGAGGGTTCTTTTTAATCTTAAATACGATTCTCTAGAGAGCTTTCTGGCCCACAACCTACTATAGTGATGGAATTTAGAGTCTTTATTTTATGGATGTGAAAGCATTCATTTATTTCTATTCATTGGCATCTATTACTGCATCCACCACTGTGCTAGAACATCGTGATAAAAAGAGGCCCAAAGAAGTAACACTTGCTCTGATTCTGTCCCTATCAAAATGAAACCTCTATATCAGTTCTTAATGAACACATACCATCATCACTCTGCCTGAAATGGCCCTAGGAATGGATGACACTGGGAGGTATAAGATATGATCACAAAGTCACTGATTATGCCTTTACTATAATTAGTTTATCATGGGATGCTCTAGTCCCTCTGTAAGATCACTAGGTGACCATTCAACTGTGCAATATCAAGTGCTTTCTCTAAAGGGAATTTAAGATCTCTGTTTATTAAGTTTAGAAAACAGTAAATTAAGAAAGATTGAGTAACTGTTGATTATGTAAATTCCTGAAAGTTTCCCTTTGAAATCCTAAAATTTTACTTCTGGGAACCTAAGTAGAAATGATCTAAGTCAGAGTTATCACAAAGATAAAAACCACACATAAAATTTTTAGTGTTTGTCTAGTAGCTGCATTAAAACAAAAACAGGTGAAATTAATTTTAATAATACATATTATTTAATAAATCCAAACTATTCATTTCAACATGAGATACATATTTTAAAATTGTTGAGATATTTTACTGTTTTGGTAGTATAAGTCTTCAAAATACAGTGAGTGTTTTATGGCACATCTCAGTTCAGACTAACCACATTTGACTAGTGGCTACTCTATTGAACTGAGCAGGTCCAGACTCCTGAAACATTGCCTGAGGCATAGCTGAATAATTAGGAGGAATATTAAACTCTGAGCCAGATAGATCTGTCACCGTCTGTGACTTTTGGCAAATAAACTCTGTTTTCTCATATGTAAAATGGAGATACTATTCTATCTTGTTACAGTTTTATAAGGAGTAAATGAGCTATAATGTGGATAATGCACCTATTAAATGGTAGGTTCACACACACACACACACACACACACAAATGGTATTGAGCATTTCAAGGAGAAATGCCCTTCCTACCTTAGGTATTTGGATCCTTGAATATCCTAAAGCTCTCCCTTTATATTCCTGTATGTAGTTCCTCTCACGACTTTCCAGTAAAATGTGCAGCACAGAGCGTCTTTTAAGAATCCAAACACCTCTACACCTAGGAAAAATGCCTACCTCATCTTCCAAGGTCCCTACCCGATGTCAGAGGTATCCAACAGAAGAAGGAAAAAAAACCTCAGGAAGTAAGCAATATAAAGTAAAAGAATTTGAGCAAATAATTACAAGGACTTAAAGGATATGAGATTCTGAGAGAAGGTGTATTTCCAGAATAGATCCAGGGCCTGGAATCTGAGAATGGCTTATTGCTCATTCTATATGCAGCTCCTCGATGTCTAGCAAATGGGTTACTCTTTAAATTCATACTAATTGTTTCCCTTTTCAGGATGGGTCTTGTTAACACTGAGCACATGGAATAAAAACACAAAAGAGCATTCATTTTTTTTTTATTTATTGCTTTAATTATCCAATCGAAACTCAGGTAAATCTAATAGTTCTCACTAGGAGTTTAATGACATTGCCATGACCAACAGAGGGTCTCAGAGTAGCAGGACATGTAGGCCAGAAAAATCTGCTTCATGAAATGTATAGCTTATAAAAATCTAAGAGCAAGTTGCTACCTAATTTTTCTTCTTTCTCTTTCTGTTGTAATAGGTTCAGCATTTCATCTCTACTAGACATAAATACTTGAAAATTAGGAAAACATCATTGGAGAATTAATGTGGATTCATAAGGAGCACCGTCTCCTGAGGGGGCATTAGAGTTTCGTTTTCAGATACAGCTGCCTTCAACAGAGGCAATTTTTAGCAATCAAAAAAAATGAGAAATGATCCTGCCATTATTTTAAAAATCAGGTGCCTGTCAGATTTTCCCACACTCCAATAACTCAAAGAGAAAGCATATCCTGATTGAAGGGATCGGCTCTGGGGCCAAGACATAGCTGTGCTTTGAGAATCACACTGAGACCTGATACAAGAAACAGGTCCTTCAGGGCACCTTCCAGAAAAAAAAAAAAAAAAGGCACTGGAATTCATATTTGCTTTCATGTGCTTTTGCATATTTCTTATTTGAAGATAGGCAAAGCTTAGAAGAAGAATCAAAAGGAAATGTATATTAGGGTCCTTTTCTCTATTCCTTTGATTTTGGTCTACACATTTAGACAATGAGGAGGTTTTTGAGTCCATCTAGAAAGGTAGTCTTATGTCAGGGTTTCTCACACTGTTGATTTGGGAGCCAAATAGTTCTTTGTTGTGGGGGCATCCTGGGCATTGCCCAATCTTTAGCAGCCTTCTTGGCCTCTACTCACTCATGCCAGTAGCACTTCTCACTCCTTTTCCCCACTTATGACAACCAAGCATGTCTCCAGACATTGCCAAATGTTCCCAGCTCTGTACCATCCAAAGTCTCTGAGGCAGGAGTTTCATTATTTGGCTAGCCTCAAAGTTGTTTTATTAGCATGCAATATAATTTTATTTAAAGCACTTTTTCCGTAAAGTCCAAATATCCATCAGCACACACTCAAAAATTAGATAATCATTGATTCTATTTTAAATATTTAGTATTTTATTAGTGAGGTCATTTAAACACATTTCAAAATTGGCTAAAACATACAATTAGAAAAAGAAAACTTCAGTATTGAGTGTCATTTGTAAGAAAAATTCACTTCCTACTTCCAGGTTTTGCCTTAGGTTAGATTAGTTAATTTTTAGAGAAATTCTAACTTCTAAGTATTAATGGAGATGATAATCAAATCCTGATTTTTAATACATTGCCCCATTACAAATGTAAATTTTTGTATTGCAATGTTGAATAAAATGCTATTAAGTTGATACACAAGCTTTTTACTTTTAGAAGAGAATGGGTAAGCAAAGACAATAGTGTTTGTCAGAGAAGAATGACATGGGGAGGGAGCTAGCAGGTTCTGGGGATAAAACCACTAGAGAAATAGACACAACTCTCTTAATGTCATTATAGATGTAAAATTCTTTTAATTCGTTATTTAAATAAAATAATAAATGGTATAATTTATTTTGGCAGTTACTTTCACTTTAAAAATTAATTCAAGAAGAAATACATCAAAATTATAGTGTAAAATATATTCTACATTTGTTTATCAGCCTTCCCCATCATCATTTATATAATGCATAAATAATACAGTCTCATCTGATCTTATGAAAGTTCATATATATCCAAAATGTGATACACTGAACCACTGTGATATTAGTAGCTAACAGTGAGTGCTTACATGTGTATCAACTGTGCTTTATAAGTGCTCACATACATTATCTCATGTGAGCCTTACAGTAACCCCATGAGGTAGATGCTATGCTAGAAATGGGGAAATTGGGCTTATTGCAGGTTAAGTCAGTTGCCTGTTGTCATGAACTAAGTTTCCAGAAAGCTCACATTTAAATATTGTAGCCTTTATCTATGGTGTTCTTTTTTTTTTTTTTTGGTACATGCCCCTAGCGGAAACCGAACCTGGAACTCTCTGGTCCGCAGGCCAACGCTCCAACTCCTGAGCCAAACCGGCCAGGGCTCTATGGTATTCTTGAATGTTAATATCTGTGTATCAAATAATAATTTAAAAAATTCAATTTTCCTTAATATTATTATTTTTTAAATAACACATGATTTAAAAAAAATTTTTTTTAGAGAAGAGAGAGAGAGAGAAACATCGATGTGCGAGGGAAACATTGGCTGCCTCCCACATGCCCCCCACTGAGGATCAAGCCCTGACCGGGAATCGAACCGGGACCTTTTAGTCCATGGGACAATGTTCAGTCCACTCAGCCACTACAGCCAGGCTCATTAATACTATTTTTATGTAGTTTATTTATGGTAGAATTTGAGAACATAAAAATTACCACTAGTAGGAACAAATTGCATTTTATAGCATAAAACATAAATAAAAGTTTTATTAACTCATAAGCACCAAAGCAGTTTTTTAAAAAAAAAAATAAAGGGTATTTATACAACCTGATTTCAAAACTAACTGAAACAATAGTTTTAAGACAGTGTGGTAATAGACATAGTGACGACATAAATCAATAGAGCAGAGTCTAGAAATAGATCCAGATGTAAATGATAAATTAATGTTTGACAAAGAGTCTTAAAGATTTCAATGAGAAATTCCCTTAAAGAAATAGTACTGGAACAACTGGATATCTTTTGGAGGATAAATAAATTCATTTATAGACAGCAGAGCAGTAGTTGTCTGGTGACAGGGACAAAAGTTGGACTGGAAAAGGGCAGAAAGAATTTTCTGGAAGTGGTGGAAATGTTCTGTAGCTTCGTTGTAGTGGTAGTTTCGCAGGTGTATACAACTGCCCAAATCATTAAATTCTGTACATTAAATGGGTTAAGTTTTTGTACGTATTATTTTTTCATAGCAAGTAAGGACATACAAGGATCTCTTCATCAAACTTTAGGGGTATATCTTTCTTGGGACTGTAGAGTCCTGTTAATTATCCAAGAGGGAAAAAAAAAAAAGATTTTACCAAGTTAGTGGAATTTTAAAATCCAAGCAAAAAGCCCTTTGTTATTGGAAGGAGCAGTTTCTCCATTAAATGGTAGCATAGAAAACAAAATAATGGCCTCAAAATAGTTTATTTGACAATATTCAACAGATTTGAAAAGATGGCTTAGTTATTATAAGAAGGATTTTATTTGCTTTTAAAGTAATTTAGATCGGGAATTATAGAATCTTGGATACCAAAGTGATTATAGCACCTACTCTGGAGGAAAAAACAATAGCATTAAACATTCATTGTTATTCAGTTGCCCTGTTACTAAGCAGAAGAAAAGACTAAAATGACTTCTGGAGATGTGTTCAAAATCTATAGAATTAAACACAAAATGTAAAAATCCACTAGTTTTTACTAATACAAAATAATAATAGTACCAATACATTTTATAAATTTTACAAGAAAAATTTAGTCTTGAGTTTTTAATTAAAATGAAACTAGGGCCCAGCCAGTATGGCTCAGTGGTTGAGCATCGGCCCATGTACCAAGAGGTCACCAGTTCAGTTCCTGGCCAGGGCACATGCCCAGTGTGGGGCAAGCAGGAGGCGGCCAATCGATGTTTTCTCTCATCGATGTTTCTATCTCTCCCTCTCCCTTCCTGTCTCTAAAATCAATAAAGAAAAGAAATTTTTGGAAAAAAAAAAAAAAAAAAACTAGGATAAGCCATCCTGATGTTTTTGTTGTTCATTTTTTTAATAAAAAAGTAAAGAAAATGGTAACTGCATTTTCAGATAAAACAGTACATTTTATAGTTATTTTTATCAGTAATTTATTCCCAAAAAGATTTCAGGTTGTGTATAATTGAAAACACATTTAATAATTAGAAATAGAAAATCAAAAGCCATTTAGAAGGAGAAAGAAGGAAATAAACCACCTAAATAACTAGAGTTACTACAGTTGACAAATTATCTCTAAGCTTTTTGATATTAGATACAAAAAGAGAAAAACAATAATTGTATAATTCCTTTTTATTTGATCAAAGTAAACCACACTTTTTTAATGAGTAAAATTTTCAGGCATATTTTT